TTTGTATGTACAAGGGGGATGCGGCGCGTGGAGACCCCGTTGGCATGGCAACCGGAATGGCCAGAGTCGGAGGAGAGAGAGCGTAAGCAGCTGCCCTCCTGCCTTTTCATACAACCTTTATTTTCTGCTGTCTTTATGTCACACGGCCGCTAACCTTAGACCTTTGATAAAGCGTTGGTTGGGGGTGGGGCGAAGCATTGACCAAATACAGTCTTCCTGTTGTGATGCTTTTGATATTGTGGTGGGAGGGAGTGGCCTTAAGAGCCGTACAAGTTTATGCTAATGCAGGTATTGATAAATGCTCTGCCTGCGTTCCCTGATTCTAGATAAACGAAAGCACTGCAGTGTTTTTTTCCGTTGGTGAATTTCCATTTTGAACTGACCACGGATCATCGATCTCGACACACATGTTGGCTCGGCTTTTAAACAAAGTAGTACCAGCGTGAAGCAGATATTGGAACCCCTTTTGCCCATCACAAATATTGAGTTAATCAGCCATCAAGCCGAATGCAAGAACAGCAGTTTAGTAAATTGATAAATAAAAAAAAGTGGAATACAGAAGACTGAAGAGACGATGGGGCGCTGAAATGCATTATGGAAAATTGATCATGTGGGAATGAAAAAAGCTTTTAGAGGCAGTAACCATGGGACCTGGAGGATAAGATGGTGACAGGAAAATGGGCACGTGTCGCTCTTTGACATGTTCTTATACAAAACCTGGTTCTTAACATGGACCAATTTAATTAAAAACACGAAAAATGCCTAAAAAAAATCCAATCCACTCTGTTGGCTGTAATAAAGGACACATAAGGAAATGGAGCAGAAGCATGTCTCCAGTGTTATGATCGGTGGTGGTAGTTTTTTTTCTGTGGCGACAACGTGGAGACGAGACTCATGCATAAAGTATGACCCTGCCAAAGAGAGAGGCGCAAGGCACAGGCACACAGGTATGGATGGACAGTCTGGCACAGACCAAATCTAAAGGATGGGAGGAGATGAATTATACATTTGTGGGAATTCGGGGCAAATTGGGTTGACGGGAAAGAGACATTTTATAAATTTTTCACTCGTTGTTAGGTGGTGATCAAAACCCAGTAAATTACATTATTTTTTATTATATATATAATTTTAGCACTTTTACTATCATACTATTCCCCTGCGTCTCACCCCTGTCTAGTTTAAATCCCAAGTCCCAGTCCATTCATCTTATGAGAAGACCCCATTTTCTCCATCCCAATGCCGCAGACTTCTTTTCCTCCTCTTAGAGCGAAACAGGCCTGAGGGGTAAAGGAGGGGTAAAGGGGGGCACATGTTCATTTATTTTTCTCCCCCCTCTGCTGTCCTGTGTCTTCCCCTCCTACACGTCTTCACAGCTGGAGGTAGTTAATATTTAACACTGCCATGACAGGACAGGACACACACACATGTTGGTACACTTGATCGCATGCTACAACAAATAAGATCAAAGCAAGCACAAGATTTAAGGATTTGTGGTTTTAGACTGTTACCATAAATACGCACTCTGTTACACTTCTTGAAACGGCTGCATCGTGCTCAGATGTTAAAAGATCAAAAAGATTGAACATGTTGTTGCACCTCCTAAATAACTTTGTCACCACCCAACCAGGCTCAATACCAAATCTATGTTTTAAGGGCAACAAAATGGTTTCAATGGACTTTAAAGCAGTTATATGTATATAACATGTATATATATGGATAAATTTACCCAAGTAAAACTAAATCTTGTGTGTTTTTGTAAGCAAAACCGTTCAGGAATAAAAAATAATTTAGGAAAATGAACGTGACTTGTTTACTAGGTTGCCTTTTGGGTATTTTTTTCCCCCTTCACAGTAAAAACCACACCCTAAAATCACATTGCTCCCTTGCTAACCTCACAGTGATTGAACCACTCCTGATGGCATCCACTCTCACTATAACAGTAATAATAGTTTTTAAAAGCACTAAACGTCCTCCGTCAGTCCATGTGCGCAGCTGCAGACATGCCTCCACCTCTGACCTCGTCCAATGGAGCAGGTAACAGTTGCGATTGGGTCTTTGACAGCTGCACAGCGGTCCTTGCGAACAAGTGAAGTGAGGCATCTGCTTGAATATGACCGTCCCCGCCCTCTTTTAGAGCTAATGGCGCGAACACAAGGCAGCACGCTGAGAGTGCATCTCTGAAGTGTGTCCCAGGTCGGACGAGGCAGGCCCTGGGCTCTAGCTGTATGTTTGGGTGTCTGTGAATCCAGTCTTGAAACATTTCTTTGGCTGGTGTATATTTTTTTCCCTTTTATCCCTACTGATTGTTCTACTTTGTATGTTGCTATGACAAAGCACAAGATATATTTTGTCATTTAAATAAAACTGAGAGCTTATTCTGCTTTGTGTTAGAAAAGGAAACTCATGGACATTGCACTACTGTTCCAAGGACATCTCTGGTCCAGTCCTTGTAATCAGGCCCATACGTCATCAGAGGGCAAAACACTCTCCTACGGAAGCATAGCTAGGCTTGAATGGACAATGGCTTTAGTGTTCATGTCTCGTCCAGTACTGATAGTAAATAGATTACGCCTGCCTATCTTTGCAAACTGTTTCAATGATTCTACAAGAAAAAAACTGTAAAAAAAAAGTTATCTAAATAAAGAAGATATTCATTATATACATTACTATTACCAAAGGGATGGATAAGGATATTTTTTGTGCGTATGGAGTGTATCCTTGTGTTCAATCTAAATTCCAACCCCTATTATATTGTTCCTCTTTACTGACCCATCTTCAAACAGTCAGACTATGTTTTTTATATCAATGTCCACCTCCTGGATTGAACCCACTAGACCATGCTGTTCTAGCTTGTCTGATCTCTCCTTCCTAGGTGTGTCCGCCCCTCATCCGCGCACCCATCCATTTACAAGCGCCTTTTATGTTCTTCCCCTTTGTTGATTTCTGATTGGACCCCAGACAAGCCCCAGCATGTGTTTTTTATTGTTAATTCCCACTCCCCACTGCTCCTGTTTGTGCCCTCTGAGGAGTCAGCATCTCTCCTGGTATATCCCAGCTTGCATTAACACCGCTGATAATACTTCCACTGTACTTGCCTGAGCTCCGTTCGTCTGACTCTAATGGCATTTTGGAGAGGCAGGTTTAAGAGCGGATCACTGTAATTGGCCCCTTGTCTCCTGAGAACAACAAGCATTAAAGCGGGGCCCCAGGTTGATAGGAGGACATGTAGATGGAGGGAAAACTCAGCTAATGATGCCCTGATTGCGGCTGTGTGTACAGTGGAAGGGTAGGATTAGCGTCACAGCTGTCAACCCACCTCCTTCCGTCATGAACTCCTAACCCTTTCCTATTTTTTTTAAGTTTTCAGTGTTACATTTTCAGTGTTGAATTTTTCTACTAGATTTCCCCCCCTCAAAAAAACCAACAACTGTTCATCATCCCCAAAGAGTTTCTAAATCAAGCTTGTTCTTCTCTGACAAAACGAGCCAGGAAGTATTATGGCTCATTGAATCCTACTGCTGTGACTGTAAACGGCAGTGAATAGCGCTCCTCTTAATTGTGTCTTGTTTGGATCAGTGCAGAGGCATAAAGCACTGAACAATTAGGGTCTTGCCAAGGATGCTTCTCATACAATATTATACACATGGATTTATTCAATAGAAGACGGTGTGAGAAAATCTACTATTTCACATTGAACTGCATATTTTTTATATCCCTTCTGCATTAAAGGACTTTTTATCAGAGTGCCTCGGATTTCACCCGGTCTTTATTTTCCATGCAAAAGGGTATTTTTTGTTTTTCTTTATATTTTTTATATAGTTCTAATTCACAACAGCTATTGTGTTTAAGGACTTTACAAACTTGTCAATTCGCCAAAAGAATAGAGAATCAGACTTGTAATATACATTTGCATGCAATCTGATTTTCAGTTAAATTTGTAGGAACACTACATCTGTTAGTTGTTCATGAAACTATCTAGAATGTGTTGAACTTATTTTCTCATGTTTTCAAGATGTCCTACTGAGTGGCAGCTAAATATCTCGTCTAGTGTCTACCATTATCATCTTGAAGTGTGAAAACGACTGATAATTGCCACTTTGCCTCCTCCACGCGCACCCCTCTTTGACCTTTCCCCACTCTTCAAGGTCATCCCTTGGTGTTTTGCCAATATTCCTGAACGCACTGCCAAAGCTCCCGCTCTCAGCCTGGCAACACCGCAGCCTGCCAAGTCTGCATCCTCTTTCTATTAGCGCCATTGTCTTTTGTCTCCCGTGTAACATCTCAATCATAGCGTGGCGTAACAGCTCTTTGTGTATGATAAAGGCAGTGTAAACATTCGGCAGACGGCTCCACGTGGCGCTGCAGGAGGGACAGACTGGGAGGGAAGCAGCCAGGACACACTCCAAGGGTACAGATGGAGACTGGGTAGACTCCTGGTATGGGGTAGCTCTACTTGGCTTGACATGACTGATAGCATCTTTACTGTACAGTTATCCCCACATTATCGCCAAAGAACCACAAGAGCTGGACCAATGCTTTTTTTTCAATTAGACATTGGGGATATTGTAGTGCATTTCCTTTTCATTACAATTTCTTTTGTGTTTAACCAGTACATCTGTGATTCTGTCTTTATATCAGTGGTGACCCAATTAACCAACTTTAATTTGTACATGCTCTGCTTTGTGATTGGTGTCTGTCGATGCGTGTTCTATTGTGCTTTGGTTTTCAGCTCCATGTCCCAGTCTGTCGGCTCAGTCTGACCACATGCTACTGGGTCATTTTTCTCCGTTTTGACACATGGCCCCTCAGCGCCCCTCCCTTGCCTTGCCCCACCTCTCACTGTTCTCCTTTTTTATGTTTCAGAGCTGGACCAGCGGGGGGCCTGGACCTGGTTGTGAGGAGACAGACACGGAAGGAAAAGTAGGAGCCTCTTTGATACTGCTCTGCCAGGACAGTGTGAGCGTGTCTGAGCAGGTGGGACTTTGATGGGAGAGTGAGCAATGCCTCACACGCAGCGACAGCAGGTTGGCAGTAGGGGGCAGTGCTGGTCCCGCCTGCCCCACCTCTTCCTACTTCTCTTCACCCTCAGAAGCCAGCCAATCAGAGCAGCCATACACATCCCTTCCACCTGTGAGTACCATGCTGCTCTGTGAAGTTCAAACACACATTTGTTGTGTTAATGACACTGTTGATTCATCAAAGCACGTGTGTAATAATCTTTCATCAGGTTAATGAGGCAAATAAGGGAAACGAACACTTTCCTCTCTATAGATCACAGTATTTTGCTTAGAACGCCACAGTGTCTGAGGCTTCTTTTGGGTGCTCTCATCTGCTCTGTGTCTAATTACTTTGTAATTGATCCCATCATAGCTCATTGATTAGTGCCCCCATTGATCCGGTTTCCTGTGTGCAAACTAGACTCAAATTGAGAGTAATTTAATCAACAATTGAGTTATACAACAGAAAAACCAATGTGGTTTTGTCAAATTTTCTCAAATTTCCAATCCTCTTCCTCAATACAATCTGTGGGCTCGGGAACAGAGTGTGTGGATGTGAAATATTGATCTAATCTCCTCAGCAGCTGGACCACACCACAGAGCTCTAGGAGAATATTGTTTCCAGTACTTGTTTTGTTCACTTTTCATCTTAGACTATCTGCTGTGAATCACCGTCCTTCACCGCCCACACAAAGCCCTAACCAAACAAACAGATTACTCTCCTGTGCTCAACCAGCCTGTTGTAAATGCTGATGAGAAGCTGTAAATCACACAATCTAATTCCCTATAGAGGTGGGGTGACACAGAGGTGAAGAAGCCCAATGAAATGAAGGAAGGATGGACAGAGGAGTGGGTCAAATATGGAAAAGGTCAAGGTGTCCCCTGCCTTTCAATTATCAGCCAATGCCCTGTCAATGAGATGCACTGATCAGGAGACAGAATCGATGCAGGATGTTCAGAATTTATGTCCAAGTGGCAGGGTTAAAAGCAGCACGTAAGCACCGGACAAAAACGACTCATCAAGTATCACAATGCTCTCATTTTTCCATCACGACAGTTTTATATCAATGGCCTCAAATTTGTTTCACAATATTCATATATTAATTACATTATACAAGATTAAAGGTGCATTCCTCAACTGTCTTAGTGATGACCAACCTTTTCTGAAATGGGATATCTGCTTCTTCCAATAGATAATGAATCTCGCTCAGTTTAGTTTAAAACATGCATATTCCTCCATTATGGAGGATGTTAGTGCTTGAAGAATTGTGAGAAGACTCACCTCCACCCAGATGTCACTAGGACCTTAGCTGAGTGAAGTCACATTCTTGTTTCCAAAATAAAAGTGTATTGATAAATCCAGGCAAAACATAAACATTTAGATGAACCCAAGCAAGTAGCAAAGCCCCAGGACAGTTGCATATTTGCAATCTAAAGATTCATATGTTGTCATACTTTCATTATTAGTCTGATTAAAGTTATTTCAATTTTTTCAGTGAAGTATAATTGAAAGAGCATTGCCCCAAACCAAACAGCACTAAGTGCTCTATGTAAGACCAGTAAAGCTGTAAATTATGTCCAATAATATTATACAACTAAATCTAATGAGATTTGTAGCTAATGAAAACAACACAATTCTTTCCCTCTGTTGTGTACATAATTATTACCTGCTTTTGTATGCCGTGTTTTAAACTCCCGGTTTGCTCTCTTGTTTACTAAAACTCTTTTCCCCTGTCTGGCTTCTCTTTGGCTCCCGCTGCGGACTAACAGACCACATAAGTGATCGTAAGTGCTTTTACCCTAATTGACGTCAATCAGTCCTGATGCAGGTTATTGTAAACACTTTCATTACATTTTTTCAGAGAGGTTATTTTTCCATCCCGATCTTAAATGCATTTCCGTGTTTATGTTTACTGTTTTTACGGCTATGTTTTTGGCCCATTTGACTCATAACACACTGCAGAAGAGTCTACAGTATGAGACCTGTCAGATCAAAGACTGAAATGTAAAGAAAAGTTAAGCTCTAAGCACATATTTTCTCTCTGCTGCCAATAATATATCCTGCCTACAGCTCTGAAACTTGAATTTGATAAAAAAAAAGAATTCCCTGCATCAATGAAACCTTATTACATTGCTCCACTCTCCTCATCTCTGTGAATCTCCTCTTGTTTGTTTTAGCTTCTTGACAGTGGAGTGCCTGTGGTGTGGTGCATGTATCCACACTCCACTGCCTCCTCATCCATCTCCCCTCTGCCCCCACCGCCTATGCTCTGTCCTCTTTTACCCATTTACCTACATACTGTGAATTTATCCTTTCTCATTTATGCCTGTAAGTCAAATCTGCACCAAGTGGTTTGAAATAATCCCACCTCAAACAGCGAGGCAAAATTAAAACATGGCTGCTGCTGAGGAAAGTGGGCCATTAAGCATTTTATAGATTTTATGGAGTTTAAAGATGTATCATACTTGTCACAAAGAAAAATCACAAAGAATATAATTATCTAAGTAACGTAATTTCCAAAGAATAGTACTTGGTCTCATTATTTGTATAAAATGTGTAACCCTATTGCTTACACCTTCAATGATTCTCCTATTTAAATTGAAACGCATGTGCGACTTCAAAAATCACAAACGCATAGGCCACAACGGTTCAGCACTACATTCTGCTTTTGCATTTGTATTTGTATTCACTCCACATAAGGTTTTACGACCTTGTCCTTGCTTTATGGCATTGGACAGCAGGACAGACAAACCTTTCCCAGTGGTGGTCATTACTTTTAACTCTTTTATTTCCCCGAGGCTGAAAGACACCCACTGTCTCTCTATCCCTTTTACATGAACTCTCTCTGTGCGATGCTGTATCAATTTCCTCTCATCTCTACCCATTTTCTCCTGCCTGCTCTCTCGCCTTCGCTCTTTTACTCAGCCTACATTCCTAGCCCTTCCCCTGAGACACATTTTAAGTGATATTGACTGACTGTTCCTTTTTGGCGGCGGTTAAACTGGGGAAATTATCTCTATCTGTAGCTTAACAGCTAAAGATGTATCAAGTATATGTATTTTTCACCCCATGTATGAAAGTAGGTCACGAGAAGGCACCAACCCACCTTTTTTCTTTACTTTTTCACAGTGAAAAAGCCTCCGACGATCACCACGCAGCCTAAGTCCGTCACTGTTTTCAGCGTTGAGGATTTCGTGATGACCTGTGAAGCTTCAGGCAACCCTGCACCCATGTACGCCTCCCCATCTGCACACAAACTGCAAAATTTACGACATGTCCAAATCTAAAGTGAAGATATATATGTCATAAAGGAGTATACACCCACTTTCATTTTAGCTCACACACCACGACCTTCACTCTCCTTGTTCAGCTGACATTATTAGTAAAACATGAAAGCACAGCCCCTGCAGCAGGAAACTCATTGTCAATGGGGAAAATGTCTTTATATCTCTGGGTGTGTCAGCTCAGGCTATTTTCACCATTTAAAATGTTAAATGATATTGAATTTTAAGCTTCATGAATGTAACGCACATCAGTATCATGGTTACATCATGGATGTGTTGATACCAATGAGATGTTGTGGGATTATCTTCTGTTTGTAGTTTTCGATGGACAAAAGATGGAGAGGAGTTTGATCCAGGTGTTGATCCAGACCTGAAGGTGACTGAGAGCGCGGGTTCATTTGTTTTCTACACACTGAGTAAAACCATGGAGTCCCTCAAGAACTATCAGGCCAAATACGTCTGTCTGGCGTCTAACGAGCTGGGGACAGCGGTCTCCAACGAGGCCATACTCAGCATAGATGGTAAGCAACATCATGTCAGACTCCTAAAACATTATATTTTTCAAGTGAATGGTACAAGTTTAGCTCATTACAAATCAAATCATGTTTTCTTTTTGGTTAGAACCAGGTCTCTAGCTTTGAAAATGGATTTGCTTCCTTTGAAAACATCAGACATCAGACACTCTGTGATGTGAAAACATTTGAGGTTTAATAAGAATACCATGTGCACTGCTAAAGCTTGTGACATGTCTCCGTGATAAAATGAAAATCGTGTTTTGGGATTTAATATAACATTTCACTAAATACATGATGTGTGTTTAATATATTTATTAATTGTTTTTAAAGGAGTAAAGCTTTCTTCACTAGAGATACTTGTTTGGAATTTCTGTTTGTTGTTTTCTGATTCTTGCATCAAATTATTGCCATCACACATAATCACACCTCTCCAGATTCACTCATAACAGCCCCAAGGGAGCCCGACTAAAATTTTTGAATGTTGCACCAGTGGGCCTACATTTTCATTCAGGTTCACCAAACATTTAGTATTTCTGTATTTTCAAAGCTAAAGGTATTAAGAACGATTTTGCTGGAAGCCTCTGAAAAAAGCACTTTCCATAGGGCCACTCTAGTTTTAGTTTTATCAGTCCTTTACTGTCCTGCTTCACTCGTTTTCTGCTTTTGTTTCTCTTCCATTAATGTTGAGATCAAAAATCCCCGTCTGACAGCTGCACAGAGAAAAGCAGGTGCACAAGATACTTCAGGGTTTTATGTACTGACCAAAATTCTGGGTGGCCTGCCTTGCTCTGTTACCTTAGTTCCCCTAGTTCATGTTTAGCATTTTGTCATTTGATTTGATGGGGTAAATAATTCCTCATTCATTGTGTCAGCAACAGTTGTATTACTGATTACTGATTGCATTCTTTTATAGAGCACAGTCCTCACAATCCTCCCTCATAGCTTTACAAGGGGATACATTTCTGAGCAGATGGAGTCCCCCGCTGTGGGGACTGCCACCCAGCTCATAATTACATGCCATAATCAGCATATACTTCCACACACGCGCACAGCCCCAGGGCAAAGGTAAAGAGCACCGAAGAGCATCATCCACCTGTGACTGCGGCGCTCTCCCGGGGCAACCTACATCCGGCACAGTTTCCCTGACAACTGTCTCCCTTAGAAACGCTCTTGAGTTGATATCATGTGACATGCTCTTCCTTGACTCCTGTGGGGTCTGCAGCGGCCGACGGGAGGAGGGCACGTCCATATGCGCTTCACAAAACATGTCACAGAGGAAGACACCGTGTCACTTCAAATCTTCAAATTACAGTCTATATTTTTGTTTTGCTCCAAAGAGTAAAGACGAGCTCCAAGTCAATTATACAAATAAATAAAACATCTATAAGTCCTAGTGTTGTCACGATACTACATTTCAAATTGATTTAGATTCTACAAAGAATTATTTATAAAGGCTCTTTTTGAAACATAACCTGCAATTTTTTACTCAACATAATAGTACCTTTTAAACGGGGCACAAGGATCCGCTGATATAATCTGTAAAAATATCTAAAATCTGTAAAAATATCTTTATCTTTGTTCATGTGTTTTTACTCAGTATCTACTCTCTGTATACTTGTACAAATTAGGAGCCAGTTCCGATACTAGTTTTTTTTATTGACATCCCTTCTAGAACTTTTGATGGAAGGAAGTAGCTCTGTATCTTTTCCCCTTGCTTTACTATTCACAATAACAGAACATTTGATTTGTGGGTGCCCAAACTTTATTCAATTCTAAAAGCTCTAGAAAGATAAAGTATACCATACAAATACTACCAAAGAAGAGTACAGCATACTTTGATAGAATGTAAAATGTATTCTCCCTTGTCTCATTACTATGAGAAATAAATGAATTTATGGACATTGTCAGGAATGAAGCAGACAGAGACGGATTGTGGTGCGCCAAACTCTGGAAGTTTATTTAAGTTTCTCTCAAATTCCAGTGGTTTCCATTGTTTCTTTCTCTCAGACAAAATAAAGGCAGTACACAGTTTATATAGTCATTGTCACGTCACACATCGAAAGACATACGTGTCACACAGAGACAGTCACATCATAGTCAAAATAATCAGAGTCCTTGTATCGTCCTGCACGTAGGCCATATTGCTATCTAATACTAACAACATTAATCATCATTTATGGACATTGGTCAAAAGCTTCTTATGGACCAATGGCTCTATGTGTATTTTACCATTGCATTATTTGTGTTTGAACTGATTGATTCTCTGATCTGTGTTGGCGAATTCAACGGTTTTGTTAAGTCCTTCAAGATAACTACTGTTGTGATTTAGGGCTATACAAGAATAAATTGAATAGAAATTGGATTGTAATATTATTTTACATTTATTAAAACAGTCCATTTCCCGCACAGGTCTAAAATGATTGTCTTATGCCCTTTTTCCAGCTCCTCCAATACAACAGAAAGAGAAAAAGGTTAGTTTAAAGGCGGAGGAAGGCAACAGCATTGTCCTGAAGTGCAACCCCCCGCAGAGTGCTATGGATCCTATCATTCACTGGATGGACTGGAGTGAGTACATTATCCCTGCAACACACTGTCCATTTACTCCCATTACCCTCCACCATAAAGCACCTACTCAGCCTACCTGCATTTCCCGTCCGAACGTCCACTTCTATCTCATCACATTATCCTTCTAAAAGTGTTCAGCTATGAATGTATCTCCTTCCATATGTCTTGCAGAGCTGCTTCACATCGCACTAAGTGAACGCGTCATGCACGGAACCGATGGAAACTTGTACTTTGCCCATGTGACCGCTAAAGACAGCAGGAACGACTACACTTGCAACGTCCAGTATTTGGCAACACGCACCATTCTGGCCAAGGAGCCCATCACTCTGACAGTCACCCCCTGTGAGTTTAACCAGAGGGAGAAACATTGAAGAAACAAATTTGTTTTTTGTACTGAATGTGTTGAGGAGAGCAGTCTGTGTCCCAGCTAAAACAATATTATATAAGAAGTGCATTAAAGCTGGGGTACCTTACTTTCAACCCACAAAAAAAACTATTCATGTATTTGCCACATCTGCCACATTAGTTTTTTTCAGACATAAAAGTGTGAAAAACAGAGGACAGAACTCACTCAGACAATCAGCTCTCAGCCCATTGAGTCAAATAGTGACTCACAGGGCGCTTTTTTACAAGTGTTCAAAAGATATTTCTCATAGGGGAAGGCAGCATGTTGTGGTCTGATATGTTCATTTTCCTTACAAAACTCTGTTGGACAAACAACATGCGTAATGAAAAAGTGAAGTACCCGCTCTTTTACCCACATTTTTTACCCATTTTTTGATGCAGACTCTTTCATCCATCAAACTCAAAGTGAAATCAATATATAGACCAAACAGACTGAACAAATGGGAGCCAAAGTTTTAAGAGCCCAAATGTGCTGCTCTGTGCGAATTAGAGGAAATTCACTTTGATTAATGAAATTATTGATTGCTATACATGCTACAGTTCATATCCCTAAACAGGCAATCCCTCACAGTGGTTTTTCCTCTAAATTCTCAAAACTTGCACAAGAGTTAAGTTTGTTGTGACCTGAACCGGGTCAAGCGATGGCTGGGTCCAGTGCAAGTTCCAAAAGCAGCAGGCGTCCACAGCTTCCGAGTCCAGTGGTAATGAGTCGCATCTCACACTGAGATGTGGCTGCCAGCATCTGCGGCCCAGCGCGAGGTCAGAGCAAGAGTACATGTTAACACAAGCCCTCTGTGCGCTGGGGCCGGTGAGGCTGCTCAGTGGAGAGAAGCAGAAACTCTCTCGGAAACTCTCTCGACTCTCTTTTACAAGTTGGATTTACCCGTATACTGTACATGGACCATAGCAGCAAAAAGAGGATTAATTAAAATAGAATAAGTTTATCTTTGAATGTAATATGCTTTTACTTCTCAAGAAAATATTATTTGCAGGTGAATATCTGTCTACTGTGAAGTTTTTATGTCAGAAGTTTGAGAGCTGTGCATTTTTAAATCAATGCACAGAAAAAAAAATCCCGAGGTTACTTGACCACTGCAGTCTTCTGTCACTGATAATGGTTATGTGAAGTATCTATGATGAATAAAACTTCTGAAACCTCTATAGTTTATAAAGAATTACCATTATTCCACTGCGAGAAGGTTTTTATATGACTGATGCATGGATGAAAACATAATTCTGACATGTCACTTGTTTGTGTGCAGCCAACGCCGTAGTGCGGAGCAGGAGGCCGCACATGATGAGGCCAACAGGAGCCCACAGCTCGTATCTTGCCCTCAGAGGCGAGTCTCTGGTGCTGGAGTGCCTGGTCCAAGGATAGTGAGTGTCTATCAATCAAACTACTTAGACCACTTCTCTCAATCAATCTAGACCAGTCCTTATCTATTTCCTACCCATTTGCCATACAACAATCTGCATCCATTATGTTCCTCTTGATCTCGTCCCAACTTTCTCATATATCTTTTAGTACAGGTGTGTCTCTCACCGCTTTCACTCGTATCTCTATTGCAGTGGAAAATGTCTATTATGGTATTTGGTGTACTTAACTGTAATTTACAACAAAAGTTCAATGAGGCTGCCTGTTTGTCACTTTCTGTATGCGTAGAGGGAGAGAACATTTTAGAGCACATTTGTTTTCAGGCTGCTTGTGAGAGGGGCCTCAGGGGAAAGCTTCATGGTTGCAGTCCATAAGTTTTATTAGGAAGAATAGGCCACATTGCTGTCCAGATATACTGTCCGTGGTTTATACAGAGTAAGTCCTCATCTCCGCTGTGATTGGCCAGAGCATAGAGCATATCATCACTTACTGTTTAATGAAGGATTTGGGTAAATTACATTATCTCAACTGGTGGAAAAAGGAATTAGCTCTTTGATGAGTGTTTTCATGTAAACTTTGTCAGCAGTAATTACAGTATGTACATTTGTAGACATGTAACTGTTATTTCACACCTTCAGCCCGACCCCTAAAGTGAAATGGCTGAGGAAGGACGGAGAGCTGTCAGAGTCCCGCTCCACAATAGAGATGTTTGACCGTCGCCTTCGCTTCACCAACATCTCAGAGAGCGACAATGGAGAGTACCAGTGTATCGCTGAGAACACACAAGGGAAAATAGTGCATACGTACACTGTCTCTGTGGAAGGTAGCCAGCACATTGCAACCAAACCATTATTTACCCATGTTTTACCTGTTTTTGATTAATGGTCTGTTATAGCGGCACCATATTGGATAAAGGAACCCATGAGTCAGCTGTATGCCCCGGGTGAAACTGTAAAACTGGACTGTCAGGCAGATGGTATTCCCACACCGACCATCAGCTGGACAATCAATGGAACTCCTTTATCAGGTAAATCAATGTACTTTCTTATATTTAAAGACTGTCACACGCTATTACTGTAATAACTAATCATGTGGCCTGAATACTGCAAAATCCATGTGTTTCTCTGTACAATTCATCAGCCATTGACAAGGATCCCAGACGTGTTTCAGCGGGTGGATCGCTAACGCTTAAAGATATCAACTTTGGCGACACAGCCATTTTCCAGTGCCAAGCCTCCAACAAGCACGGGACTATTCTCACCAACACCAATGTCTATGTGATTGGTGCGTTCTATTTCAAGTTTTGAAGCAGACATATTGTCATTATACCACTATGACTTCACACAAGTGTAGCCCATGAATTAGTTTTGCCAATTTCTCAGGTGAAATATACTTTTACAGAGGTTCTTTACAATCTCATGACTGTAATTTCTACTTATGTTATATATTATTTCACAATCTAAAACATGCAGTGACAAAGTAAACAATCTCATTATTATTTTATTGAACATAAAGAATGCATACTATTTCTTATTTAATAACATGTTTCCTCAATATGCTAATTTTCATTTTCAATGCTTAATTCACTTGTAATTGTTTTTTCAGAGCTGGACCCACAAATCCTCACTAAAGACGGTGTTTCGTATGAGTTTGTGGAAGGCCAGAAGGTACTGCTTGAGTGCGACACCTTTGGCTCTCCCAAACCTACAGTCTCATGGTACGTCCCAGTCAATCCTGCTCAATCTTTTGTTATGTGGTTCATTGTGTCTGCCTGGTTTTCTCTTGACAAAGGCAACAGAAGTGATAATGCGTAGGTAGCTGTCGTTATGAATAAATTAACAACCAAATGCTGTTACATCTGGGCTGTGACTGTTGAAATGCGCACAGATTTCACGTGATAATAATCATTTGTGCCAGCTTTTAAGTCTACACAGCCATGAGGAGAAATGAATTGCATTGGATGTTTTTATAGGGAAAGCGAGAGCACGTCCTCCCTGCTGTCAAATCCCAGAGTCAACCTGCTCACCAACGGGGGGCTCGAGATCTGGAACGTCACCCACGACGACGAGGGACTCTACTCTTGCTCTGTGGAGAATACCAACATGTCAGTCAACGCACAGTTGGATATACTCAGTAAGTTTCACAAAAACACACAGCGAAGAGAGAGCTGTTGTTAAATATGTGTCCATACTACAGAGGGGTACTTATTTTATTTTTAATGTTGATTCAAAGAAAAAAAGATGAAGGCAGGCTTATTTGTATAGCACAGTCCATACAAAAGGTGCTTAGCAAAACAAAACAAGAAAAGAAACATTACAATCATAAATAATCACAGTGCATTTAAAAGAGTGATGATACGTTCTCCAGTTGTTTGCACACCTCAACAGAACTGTTTTTAAATTGGATGTGTTTCAAAGTCAGGAGGACTATTCAGATTTTTGTTGCATAAATCTGCAATGCTGCCTCTCCATTACTTTATATTAGGTCTTGACCATAGTTTTAATTTAGTTTCTATTTTTATTAGTCTGGTATTATAGTTGCTCTTAAGGATAAAAAGACAAACAATATGGCATTTATTTATTGCTTCAAATACCTTGGGAAATGGGCAATTTCATTTTCTAAAACTTGACTTGGTGCCATCATGAAGTGAAATGTAATTGTGTAGAGTCCATTTTATGGACTGGTCACAATGAGGTCTTCACAAAACTGTATATACATTGACACAATAAGAAACAATAATTTGTCAATAAAGACAACAGACAAACCCATGTTGATACAAAAGCAAAGAAAGTATCTTCTTCAAAACTTGATAAAACTCCTTTGAGATGGAAATACTATAGATAATTGTTCACATGTTAACATTCCCTTTCCTCCTCCAGACAGGACAGTGGTGGTGTCCCCTCCGCAGGACCTCAAAGTGCAGCCAGGTCACTCCGCCACCTTCAGCTGTATCTCCTTGGTCGACCTCAAGCTCAGACCTCCGTTTATTCAGTGGAGGAAGAACGAGCAGAAGATCCATGAGTCGCACAGTGATGACAGGTAAAGTGGTTCAGTGCCCACAGAGGATGGCTGCAATGTTAATGGGGGTCTGTTTTCTCTTTAGATACACGTTTGAGGGCTCAGACTTGATCATATCCAATGTCCAACAAGTTGATGAAGGATCGTACACCTGCCAGGTCATCACTGATCTCGATATGGCAGAAGCAAGTGGCACCCTCACCCTGTATGGTAAGTCTTTTTTAAAAGATTGTTATTTTTTTTCTATACTAGGCCATTTTGATTTGTATAATATTGTCATTCTCAGATCGCCCAGACCCTCCAACTCTCCTTCACATTACTAATAAAAAAGAACGGGCTATGACTCTCAACTGGACCCCTGGAGATGAACACAATAGCCCTGTAATAGGTAAGATAAGTCTTTTTTTTCCTGTTCAAGTTTTTGACCTGAAATCATATGTTTGTCTCTTGACAGAGTACATTGTGGAGTTTGAGGACCAAGAAGAAAAGGGGGAATGGGAGGAGCTCAAAAGAGTCGGAGGAACTAAACATAACACCCGTCTGTCCCTCTGGCCGTACATGTCCTATCGATTCAGAGTGAGCGCCGTTAACGAAGTTGGGAGAAGTGCAGCCAGTAAACCCACTGACACCTATGAGACACAAGCAGAAGGTTTGGACTGCAGCATTTACCTGATGATTGATAAGCCACTGTTCTCATGAGGGATGCTTTTATAGTAGGAGTAGTAGTAGTAATTAACTCGTGTGTTACTATGGAGAAGAGCTTGTTTAAGGAGATTTATGGGCAGACGCTTGGCAGATAATATATGCATTTGTACTATAATAATCTATGTGGTTATAGCTCCAGACACTAACCCAGAGGAAGTAAGAAGCGAGTCCGGAGACCCAGATACTTTGGTCATCACTTGGGAGGTACAAGCAGCATCATTATCGTTTATCTTATCTTATTCAAATGTTTTACTTCATGTTGTGCTCCAGCAGTTCCAAAAGGTTGCATGAGTTGAAAGTAAAAATGTGAACCAATGTTTTATTAACAGAAAGTAAACGATGTTGTGGCTAGAACCATAATAACCCAATTTGTTAATGATGTTAAATACAGATTCTACAAAATGTGGCATATATTAGGTTGGGGGGCAGATGCCAATACAACAAAATGTTTTCAGGAGATCACAAACTTGCCATATTTTCCTTATGTCTGAAAGTCCTATCTACTGGCCAGCCTCAGGCCTATATATATTTTTAATTTTGTCCCCACTTCTAGGGATTTATGAAAACAGTATTGGACCATAGTTTGGAAATGTGTTTCTGTTTTTTGTGGCCCAGGAATTACAGAAAAATATCTCTTAACTAATACTATATGTGTGATTTTTGACAGAAACCATAAATACCAGGAAAGATTATCCACCATAATAAACTATAGGTTCTTTGGAATGTTGTATTGTCACATATTGGATTTTATTTAGGTTTGAGTCTCTTACTCCTAAACTTTCTCCTCTGTTTTAGGAAATGGACAAACGTGATTTCAATGGGCCTGACTTCCAGTACAGTGTGATGTGGAGGAGAGTGGTGGGAAGTGGTCCAAACTGGAACACTAACTACACCGCGTTTCCTCCGCTCATTCTCCGTGACATCGGAAACTTCTCTGCTTTCGATATCAAAGTGCAGGCCGTGAATAAGGAGGGAAAGGGCCCTGACCCAAAACCTGTCATCGGATACTCCGGAGAGGATGGTAAAACAACTTTCCTTTTTAACTGATTATGAACAACTTCCTTTGCTCCAGACAATGCTTTTCCAGCCCTTGACTATAATATGTGTAATTTAGGGAACATGCAATTATACAATACAATTCATATATTTAACACTTGCACATTGAAAAAAACATCAGAGAGAGTATAGTAATAATAAAAATAGCAACATTGTATGTGTCTAAGTGTAGAGGCAATGTTCACTGAGGTACTGATGCTTCAACGTTTGAGTACCTAACCTTTTATTCATTTAATGAATTTATATGTTTTTTCTCATCAGAAAGAATCTTGTTTAAGTAACATTTTGTGAACAAATCAGAGCACAACATTCTGCCTTTACCTTATTAGAAAAGATTGTTAACATACTGAAAGAGGGCTGGTACGCCCTTTTTTCACTGAAAACTATTCAGAGAGGGAGGGAACTAGGAAGGAATTGTTTTATATATTTAATAGATTTCAAACATGGAATAAGTACTATTATTCCCTGTAATATATTGTAGTAATGTATTGTTCTGTTCTCTGTGTCCTTAGTCCCGCTGGAGGCGCCTCAGGTCGTGGGTGTTTCCCTGGTGAACAGCACAGCCATCAGAGTGACCTGGGCTCCAGTGGACAAAAACACAGTGAGAGGACACCTGCTGGGATACAAGGTACTGTTCGTCCCCTCTGTCCTCATAAATAAAACAAGGCCGTCAGGCAGAGGCTTCACAGCTTTCACAAGTTTCAAGGTTGTGAAATATAGGAGCCTTTATTTTAGATGGTGTTATCTTCAAAGCTTTATTCTAGTCACACCCTTCATTCATCTTTGTTCTTGTCTTCATGTGGAAAATATTAAGTACATGCCATACAATATGTATGATAAGTAACTTTGAGCAACCTCAGCAACATCGTGGAACAAAAATATAAATAAAGTACTCAACCTACACAGAAAATGAGGATGTTTTCCATTATTATAAACATGTTAATGTATTTAACATTCAGTATATTACCCAGCGTAGTGAATGGATTGCCAATCAACACACGATTGATGATCTTTAAGGATTTTAATAAAATTGAAGCTAAAAGTATTTTATATTAGGTCAAACACGTGTTAATGGTTCTAAATATAGTTTTGCTTAATGTTACATATAATACATACACTCCACATTGCAAATGCTGTAATATTAAATCTCTAATCAATGTATTGCTATTTATTAGTTGACATTTTGTTTGATGTGCTTGTAGTAATAGAAAAATTTAACATTCTAAAATAATTTGTATGTTTTCCCCCAGATCCATTTGACATGGAAGGGCTCCAGGGCTCACCATCACAGCCGCAGGTCCAGAGAGCCAGAGACCACGTGGGTGGTGGAGACAGGAGCTAACGAGGAGAAGAAAGTGATCAACGACCTGAAGCCATTCTCTCACTACGACCTGGCAGCGACTGTGTTCAACAGCAAGGGAGAGGGACCTCTGTCTGAGACGCTGTCCTTTAAAACGGACGAGGGAGGTGAGGAGTCCTTTTTAATCACATTTATTGAAGAAGTTTTTGGCCACTGCATTAGTTGCTCAATTTGTACTTCCCAAGTAGACATATATAAATATATAATATTAATTTTATATTTTACCCATAATTTATCATATTCAGCATAGATATACTTATGTTAGGGCGACAGTAGCTCAGTTGGTAGAGCATTGGCCTTAGAGCCTGAAGGTCATGGGTTGGATCCCACCGTAAGACCTACTTCACGACTCCCACTGATGTCTGCTGTCGTTGTGTCCTTGGGCAAGACACTTAACCCCACTTTGCCTGAAGCCCCTACTGAAAGATCTCAGCTCCTGTGGACTCACCACCTGCAGGAGGACCAGTGAGGGGCTGGTACTAAGAGTACTGGGTGCAGCTCTGACTGCCACCCCCCCCGACCCAGAAATGGATTAAGGGGAAGAAAATGGATGGATGGATATACTTATGTTTTTATAGTGCAGAGTTTTGTTTTATATAATTATTAATGCATTATTGTTTTTACTCTTAGTCCCTGGGCCTCCAAAATCTCTTACACTGGAGAGCCATTCAGAAACAGAGATCACTCTCCGCTGGACCCCGCCTGAGGAGATGAACGGTGTACTCATAGGATATCTGCTGCAGTACCATCAGAGTAAGACCTTTATCAAAACTCATTTCCTCATTTTCTATGCTGTTTTTGCACCAAAAACCTGGGGACTTCAACCAATGCTTTCAGGACATTAAAATGGTGTGATCATAGCACACAGGGGAGACAATGAGATCTCCGAGCTGAGCACAACCAACAAATCTCTGTTTGAGGAGTGAAGAAGGTGGAGGAGTGAGGGTTCAAGCAGAGCACTGAACATGAACTCTGAACATTTTGTTACACTGTTTGTTCCAGGTTCGACACTCCATTTTGTCCAGGAGTTAAATACTGCAAGTGCAGAATGAAAACACCTTTTGACAGTTATTCTTTACTGATTTAGATACTGTTGTAGAAATGTTAGCAAAGTATGGATGCCACCAAATGCGTCCTGACAGAATCAATAAAATCTCAAAATGTCAGTGGCGTGGCCATAATAATGCTCATCAGTCAGCCAAGTGTCAGTGAACTAAAGGACCTCTAACGATCTGCACTTTGATTGAATGTTTTTGGGTTCTTGTTAGTTGTGAAGCCCGACGACAGCCCCATGCTGGTAGAGACCATCGATGACCCCACAGTGACCCACCTGACGCTGAAGAACCTGGACCGCAACAGCCACTACAGCTTCTACCTGCGGGGGCGCACCTCTGCTGGAGACGGAGAGTCCATCAAGAAAGATGGGGCAACCACACTGGAAGGAGGTATACAACTACCCTTCTATTGCCTTCCTTAAACAAACCAGTGCTAAGGAAAATTATATGTTTTTGATATTGATAGCTATGATTGTTTACTAGTTTTATAAAAATCAAACATACTGTATAATGAAGAAGAAATGTTATTTTATTGTACATTTGATTCTGGAAACTGCAACTCAGCTGTCTCTTGGATGAACTCAGGGTTGGAGCACATATCATTAGACATTTAAATGGAGCATAATAGGAGAAAGATATTACTACAGCACTCTTGTTTCTACAATTTTGTGAGTCTATATAAGTTTGTATGTGAAATTGTAAAGGATTACTTTAAATATTGTACTTTTGGTTTTATTTACTGTTACTCTTCTCATCCAAGCAGATATCATTTGATTGTGGTTATATTTGTATCTAACTAATAAATATTGAATCTATTTTGTATCTTGTTTTTAGCTCCTCCAGTAAATGTCAGCGTGTCTGTTGGAGAATCTTCAGCCAACTTCAGCTGGGTGGCCAAGAAGAGACATCGCAGCGTCAGCTTTCAGATCGAATACCTCAATAAAAATGGTACATCTACACTGTACCATTTACACTGTACTGCACCTTACAAACAGCCCTGAACCTGAGACATGTAAACAAATGTTGTTTTCTTGGCAGATGTTTCAGAGTGGAAAAAGGTCGAAAAAGTAGATTCTTCATTGCCTTTTTACCAGCTCCGGGGCCTAACACCAGGCTCTCATTACCGCATGCGCCTCTCCTACAACAACAGCACCTTCTGGGAGGACGACCTAGACACGGAGGGGACGGGTACGCTGAGCACTTCATTTATCCATTTTGCTTTCATCCTCGCTGCTCCTCTGGGCTTCCCACCACTAAATACTAAGCCCGCCTGCTGCAGAGAGCGTCTTACAGCTCTCCACGTCGTCTGTGAAGTGCTTTCAAAGACTTTATGTGAAAAGAGAGCTGGGTTATCCATATGAAACGATCCATTAAAGTGTTTGTAGTTTTGGGTCTTGTTGTTTCCGACTAGTGTAGGAGCAGTATTGTATAATCAGGTTGATCGGCTTACTCTTTTTCTTCAGCTTTGGTTCTAATTTTCTCTACTCCGCTGAAGTGCTTTTAATTTTGTTTCCTACAGCAATGATGGAGAGGCAGCCAAATTTTCCAACTGAGGGGTGGTTTATTGGCCTCGTAAGCGCCATCGCCCTGCTGCTGCTGATACTGCTGATTCTGTGCTTTATCAAGAGAAGCAAAGGAGGGAAGTATTCAGGTGGGTGAAAAGAAATAAGAAAACACACTTTTAAAAATGTGTTTACAGATATAAACTCATAATTACTACAGCTTTAGTCTATTACAATCAAGTCATCATTACTCAAACTATGTCTAACTATTACATCTATTTCTACTGCTATACCCCAAGTACCACCACTTTAACTTCAAGGTGGAGTCTTTAAATTGCACTTTAGCATTAACCTTTCTGCAAATGAAAATATCCTTTCAAATGTTTCCTTTATACACTGTGACTGATAGATACCTCCAGAGTGCCGTTGTCTGGCCTTCATCCTGCAGTGCCAAGCTTTTACAAGAAAGTGCTGCAGTAAACACCATTTTCCTTGAGCTGACTGTAGAATAAGTTTGCCACAGAAGTCCACCCACTAAACCAGCTTTTAAATATTCATGATCCATGTATTTAGTCCACACACTCTTGTATCTGAGAGTTAAGTGAGGTCGCACTTTACTGTTAAAAAAAACTATGCAGACACCTTGACAAGAAACTATTCACCAGTGTTTGACAAAATTCTAGACAAGTAAGAATTACTCTGTGTCGAGATAATAAGGTATCTTGTGTTTCAGATCAGAGTAGTAGAGGAAAGTAGAGGGGAAGCTGTTATCTTTCTCAATAGGATAACATTGTCACTTAGCGGTATCTTTCACCGTGGCAGGCTGTCATTATCGATGTCTCAAACTGTGGCCTGGAGTTACATGGCTGCGATCGCACTGATAATGAATTCCAATAATCGCTCTACTTCACAGTGAAAGATAAAGAGGAGGGGCCGATGGACTCTGAGGCAAGGCCCATGAAGGATGAGACGTTTGGAGAGTACAGGTACGTCGACAGTTTGCGCACACATTATCAGTCATTATATGCTAATCCTAACACTCCCCATGCTCCCATAGCAGTTTGGTTTAATCTTTTGTGTTGCTTTTGTTGTTCCTCTTCCTTCCTCTGCCTGCTCCTGCTATGCAGATCTCTAGAAAGGTATGCTGTGATGTGACTTGCAATCCAATCCTATTCTGTTAATGACCCTTGCAGATGCTTCTCACCGTTTTCATCACAAAACATTATTTCTAACAATGTGTTTCTCAAATTCAATCTGAGATACTATTAATTTTCTTCACTTCTCTTCCTTTCAGTGAATCATCTGCTTCCTTCTAAGCCTTCAACATGTTTCCTTCATCATCTCTAACTTCCATATCTTCTTTCATCATCATTTTTGGTCCTTCTTTGTACACATCCAAACCGCCATCGTCTGGTCTTTCTGACTCTCCAATATGAGCTTCTTTCTCAAATATGCTCATTTCTAATCCCTCCATCAGTCCCAGGGAACTTTAGCTTTTCTTCTTTCCTTTTCTTCAGTGCCTATCTCCAACATCTCTCTTGTACACACTTTTTTCACACACACACAATTTTATCTGTCATATATTTTTCCCATGGAATATTCGAGAACCACTGAAATCACTAATAATGTTTGATGTTGAGGAACTAACACGACCAAGATATACTAACACAATAATATCCCATGTAGCGATCTGGAGGAGAAGCGCACAGCCAGCCAGCCCTCCTTATGCGAGGAAAGCAAACTGTGCAGTCAGGACAACTTGGACTTCAATGGCAGCAGCGCCATCACCACGGAGCTCAACCTGGACGAATCATTGGTGAGCCAGTTTAGCCGTCCCAGCGATGTACCGGACACCAACCTCCAAACCACCAACAACGGCCTGAACAACACCGTCACCATTCTGGATTAGCCTCGAGATCTAAACCCACAAACCATCAGACCAAAACATGTCAACACATATGTGCCCATACGTTTCCCCGCAGAGATTGGCGACTCACACACACAATCAATTTTAGCGATGACTCAGATGCCATATGTCTGCACTCTGGGTGACTGGACTTTTTGACCAAAGGAGTGTCCAAAGTATAGGGCAGTTTAATTTATAAGCCTGACCTAAAGCCACTCGAGGACGTTGTCGGGCTCTCTATGTTTCCACTGTCATTGGTCTTTGTTTTGAAGCAGCACCATGGACGAAAAGGAGGTTTCTTTGAGGTAGAATTTGACCAGAAGGCTCCGAGAGGTGGTCCAACAATAATGCAGTAAGCTGATTGTAGGGGAAACAAGCAGCGGCCGTGGCTGTAATTTCATGTTGTTTTATATTTATTTCGTATGATGTATAATTGTGAACATTTGACAAGTCATTTGTTTCTATTTATTTTTATATTGTACTATTGTTTCTATACCTTTGGATTTTGGATAATCATTGGAAGGCACACACTAACACCAAGATTCTTCTTATATTGGATGCATATGGGGAACTCGCTGTGAAAACGCTTAGTAGCACCTGGTGTACATACTGCATTGACATGTATCTATTTAGCCATATGACAGTATTACTCACTTATGTCCCTGTGCCTGCTGGGTTTGCATAGAGCACCAGATTGATGTCATTATACTCTTTGCCTTCCCATCAGAAGTGTAATGGCACTATTGGAAAAAAAATTATCATGTAAGTTAATTGTGTGGCGATCTGTGTGTAACTTTTTCTGTATGTCTGTCTTCATTGTATTAAATCACTACTGTCTTTAACACACAACCTTTCCATACCTGTCCATCTCAAAGCTTTAGTTTGAGCAGTACTCGTGTACTATAGATGCAGACGAGAGTGGCATCCGCTCTCTGGTCGTACTTTGAATCCTCCATCGATGCACGCTGCAGACCGGCTTTATGTGAGCTGAAGTTTGAATGTATTCTTGTTTGAAATGGGCAGACACTGTGTATTTTCCACAACACATACAAAAAAAGGCCAGAAAGTCCCATTTAGTTTGAATGTAAATACACCCTTAAATTGTTTTGATGAATTTGATATGAAAAATATAAAAAGGCGACTTTGTTTCAAACGTCGCAAGTTTTCCTGTTGCTTATTTGTACTGATGCTATGAACATTTCCTTTTGACAAATCATTTGGCTCTTTCTAGCAAAATAGTTCAAAGTTAAAAAGAAGAAAAAAAAAGTTTAAAAACACAGACGTAAGATGTAAATGTTGCAATGCAAATTTCCAGAGGGGGGGGGGCTTCATTATCATCATTTAGTGATAGTTGTAGTTACATTTCAAGGATTTCTACCTGCCCATAAAGACCACTTAGCAATGCATTGCAGTGCAGTGAATATCTGTGGAGATTTTGTCTGATGCAGTTGTAAGATGTAGGGATGCAGCTAGCCGTTTGTGCAAACCACAGGGCATACAGTATGTATCCAACCTCACCATCTCAGACTAAAACAAAAAACACTTCTACCGCAAAGGAAATTGTGATGTCTTACACGTTGGATATACAGTCTATGCTCCCTGGTGAGGTTGCACAAACAGACTCAGGACATTTGAGTTTTTTAAAGTATATTTTCATACTGGAGCAATTAATGCAAAATACGCCAATACTATTGACTGCTGCTAAACATCTGTGTTTGTCAGTGTTCAGGCAAATGTTAGCTTTGAATGGGGGAGCGGTTAACACACAGATACTCACTCGCCTGCCACTCACTCCTTTGCTTTCATGTTTTGAGGGGGAATGTGGGGGCTTTGCTTTTAAAACAAATGTTTCCTCATTTTTTTATAGAGAACTAACAATGTGAGCAGCTTTTGTTGGTGAGCTTCTTCATAACTCAAAAAACCGCAGACCGTTTTAAACAATGATGTCTGAGTGGGAGGGGAATTGTTTGTGGGCGAGGGTTCAAGAGGAGAGCTGCGTAAATGTCACTGCAGCGTGGACATGTGCTTGTTTGTGCTGTGTGGAATTCACTACCAGCACAGTGATGGTATCTTTGGATGACAGACTGGACAGACATTGGGGTTATGTGACTGTAACTGCATTATGACTCAACCACTGTATCTGGATCTATGGCTGAAAATAAAAAAGATGGATCAATCTCAACAAGCGAGTATCTTTTCAGTTTTGTTCATGATATCTATAATCATCAAGATATGTAGGAAGCTGGAACATATTAGTACCCCACAAGGTATACATTTGCATTTCAACATAAGAGTCTTATTCACAAAGCCAACACAAAACAGCATATCCATTGTATGAGATTAGTTCAGCGAGAGCCTGTATTGAACTGGAGAAAGTAGTCCTTTGATGGTTTGTTGGTGTATACAATTTTGTCCAAATACTCTTGGCTAGAACAGTAAAACACAAACATGAGTGAGTTAAATATTGTAGCAGAGCCTCATTAGTAAGCACGTACTGTGTCTGCTGTTCTCTGGCTAGCAGCCTGTTGCTCAGGTCCATCTCTCGCCTCCTGTGTCTCCTCATCTCTGTCTCTCTCTGCTCATCGTCCTCTGCTGCTTGAGAAGCCTTCAGCAGCAGCACACCGAAGGAGGTACGCGAACATTTATCTTTGTCTTGTTGTTTCTAGAAACGGCAACAAGCAAAAGCTGTTTTCAATCTCAAGACTCAGCATGGCAAGGACCAAAGCAAGATTTATGAACAAGCTGAAAGGGGTTTTACAAATTACTCTTTTAACATTCAATTGCACCACTGTCAATGTTTCATAATTGACTGCTTTTGATTTGCAAACAAATATCTTGGTATTGATTTTTGCAGCAGTGAGCAGATGTGACTTGAATTATTCCCAGGACCTCACCCGTTTCTCCTCACACTGCTTCTCTCTCTCTCTGTGGATGGCCCTGAGCTGTGCGGGGCTCATCCCTCTCCACCGGTCAGTCAGGACCCCTCCTCCCGGCTGCTTCTCTGCTGCTTCTGGACACTCCGTCATCATGTCTGACGTCACGGTGTGCCACACCTCTGCTAGGTTTTCCCTCCGTTCTCGTCTGCTCTCTTCTCTCTTTTGTTCAGCCTGTTCTGTGGTCTGTTCGGTAACATTAAATGTATTAGTAGAGACAGGAGTGGGAGTGCATCTAAGAGCTCATCAAAGTCCAAATTAAAATATTAATGTTGTCCTTAGACAGTAAATCACTTCATTAGTGGGGGATCTGCTGTTGTGTCGATGAAATTGAATTTTTCTGAAGAAAAAAAATTAAAGGGAGTGATTTTTGTGTTTAATGTCCATCATTCCATCTTCTTCCCCTTAATCCATTTAATCTATTTCAACTGCACCCAATTCAAAAAGCACCAGCCTCTCACTAAACCTCCTGCAGGTGGTTAATCCACCTGTTGATGAGAGCATAGCCTTGATCTTTAAGTGGGGGCTTCAGGCAAAGTGGGGTTAAGTGTCCTGCCCAAAGACACTTAACCCAGACATCCTGAGCCACTGTCGCCCCAGTTTTAAATGTCATTCATCGTTATTCTGTGCCCTCAGACATAAGGTCCATGTTTATCCTTCTCTGTTGGTATGGATTTTCCCCATTATCTAATGTCCATGTCCCCCTTCCATGGGGGCTGGCTTGCTCCTGGCTGACCCCCCTGACCAATCCAGTGGAACCTGGGAGTAACCTCACAGCCAGTATATAGATAGCCGGGATGGACTAGTTTGGGCTCTTGGTCGGTGTCAACTCTCTATGCAACATGTAGCAGCCTAATACTGAGGCTCAGAGCCTCCAGGGTTCTCTCTCTCTCTCTCCAGCCATCTCTCCTTGGGGTATGATATTTTCTGTTATGTCTGTATGTATTTTGTTATAATTCAGTGTCATTAATGTCCTCTTTTATATCATTGGTTTGGGCCTAGTATGTACAGCAACGATTACATTTTCATGATAACATTCTCTGATCAAATAGCACATTTTAAAAACAATGTAAGCTCAGTAATCAGAGCCAGAGGGTTCTGTGAGCTGTACATGCAAGAAAACACTGGCCACACAGATGTATCAGATGTATTTTTACCCAGATTTTAAAATCTTTCCTTTAAATGCTGAAATGTTTTGCAAGAACAGACAGAGAACACCAAGAGCAAACAAACCCGACACTACAGTTCACAGATGAAGGATGCTGTCCTGAGGGTGGGCACCTGGAGCTTCTCCTGGGAGAACGACCTAGTTTCACATGTGCATGTGTACGAGTGGTATTAAGGCCACGAATGATTAACGTTCATTATAGTTTTCAAATGTCTGTGCAGTGGTAAAACCCAACCGTTGAACAGTCTACGTCACTGTGTTTTTTTACTAAACCAAAACACTGTGTCCCAGCATCACTTAACATTTTCAATTACTAAATCTAAATTCAACGTCCCTCCTGAAAACCACATGGAGCAGCTGTGAATACCCCTGGATGTGAGTGTACAAGTGTGTGTGTGTGTGTGTGTGTGTGTGTGTGTGTGTGTGTGTGCACTTGTTTTCAACTCCTGGTGGGTTCCATAACCTGAGATTCCACTCACGTCATGGGGACTGGTTTTACGTGGTGGGGCCCGAACACCGGACCCCACTGGTCCAAGCTTAATAATCAATGGGTAATGCTTTTCTAACGGTCCTTATGCAGTCTCTGTAAAAATATGGAAAGGACCCCTGGAGGTTTACTTTCCTGAAAAAAGTGTGTTATGTGTCGGAACCCTGGTGGTGGGTTGCGGGATATCAAGGAGGGGCACACTGGGGCAATTTCAGTCCAGCAGGCTGGAGCCAATCATGGAGCAGCACAACAGAGGAAATCAGGTGTCAAGCTAGAAAAAGGTGCAAGTGTGTGGTTCATTAGGCTGCAAGAAATCATGGAGGAGCACACTGAAGCGCACGCTTACAAACCACTGGTAAGTGCTGACTACAAGTCATGACTTCAAATTGTTATATAGAATGATTACAAATTATTTGTTGTTTGTGCAGCTTAGTCAAGAGTCCCTAATTGATGAAGTCGACTCAGATTCTGACGATTTAACTGTCAAGAAGAAACCTGTAAAAAAGTATGGAAAAAGAAAAATCAAAAACACTTTTCTTCAAGACTCGGAAAGTGACGAACCAAAGGCAAATAAGATTGTTATCATGCAGCTGCAAAAGAAGAAAAATGGGGGGCGAGTTTACAGCAAGAGACACTTCTGCCTCTACTGTTCAATGTCCTGCCACAAAATGTCCCGTCATTTGACTAGAAAACATGGAAATGAAAGTGACGTAGCCAGAGCATTGGCTCTACCTGTGAAATCTAAAGCACGTAAACTTCAGTTTGATTTGATCAGGAATAGTGGAAACCGTGAGCACAATTTTGAGGTTTTAAAGGCCGGCATTGGAACTTTAGTCCCAGCTAAACAGCCAAATTCCCCAGTTAAATCCAGTGAGTTTTTGCACTGTATAGACTGTGGGGCATTGCTTAAGCGAAAGTCGCTGTGGAGGCATGTGGCCAGGTGCCGGCTTTCACAGAAAGATGCCCAGGCTAAACCAGGTAGAAGTAGGGTCCAGTCCCTCTGCTCCCTAGCCCAGCCTGTACCGGAGGGCATCAGCAAAAAGCTGTGGTCTTTAATTTCGGCAATGCATCAGGATGAGGTCACGGGTGTTGTCAAAGCAGAAAAGGGGATTCTGAGACTCGGAGAGCACCTGTACTTAAAACACGGGCATGATAAGACTAAGCATGATTACATTAGGCAGAAAATGAGAGAAGTCGGTAGGTTAATTAACGAAGCAAAAACCGCAGGGAAACTGAAAACAATTAAGGATTTCTTTATTCCTTCCAACTTTAACCATGTGATTGATGCAGTCAGGTCTGTGGCTGGATATGATGAGGAAACAAATCAATACAAGACTCCATCCTTGGCCCTCAAACTCGGCCATAGCCTCAGAAAGCTACAGTAGCAGATATTCTTGAATGTGACTCAAAAATGGAGCATTGTGTTGATGAACTATTTATTAAAAACCTCCAACGAAGCCGGCTGCTTTTTGAGAAGAGGTGGGACGTCTGTGTTTCTTCTGCTGCCCTACAGACCCTCCGGCAAGCCAAGTGGAACACTCCGGACCTGCTCCCTCTGACTGAGGACGTTAGAGCCATGCATGCACATATTGAGGTATGTCGACCTGAATATGTGCAAACCCTAATAAGTGAGCCAACGTCTAAGCATTGGTCTAAACTGGCAGTTTTGACTCTTTGTGAGGTCATCATTTTCAATCGAAGAAGGGAAGGTGAGGTTTCAAAGATGCCACTGACAGCCTTTACCTTAAGAAGTAAGACTGGGATCCATTCTGACATTGCTCTGGGACTGTCCCAACTTGAGAAAAAGCTGTGTCAGCATTTTCAACGCATTGAAATTAAAGGGAAAAGAAGTCGGAAAGTGCCGGTTCTTTTGACTCCTGAAATGATTGCTTCGATGGAGGTGCTGGTGGAGAACAGAAGGGCCTGTTCCATCTCTGACCATAACCCATACTTCTTTTCCCGCCCGGGCGCAGACACCCACATCAGGGGATCAGACTCCCTACGCCAGGTAGCCAAAGAATGTGGCATCCAGAGATGCTATCCTCAACCAAACTTAGAAAGCACATAGCTACTATGTCTACAGTTCTCAATATGAAAGAGAATGAGATGGACATACTTGCCAACTTCCTCGGCCATGACATTCGCATCCACAGGCAATATTACAGACTACCAGAGGGGACACTGGAGCTGGCCAAAATCAGCAAAGTGTTGATGGCCATGGAGCAGGGAAGAGTGACGGAATTCGAAGGAAAGAGCCTCGACCAGATACAAATTGAGCCTGAAGGTAATTCTTGATATTATTAAAATATGTATGATTTTTTTCCCCTAAAGGCCACTTGTATTTTTATTTTCTGTGCGACAGGGAGAGCAGTAGAGATCCTCTCACAAACGGACGGGCTAAAAGAAACTTCAAGCGGAGAACCTTCAACCATTCATCCAGATGCACCCCATGGTAGTGGCAGTGCCCCTTCTGGTAAGTGTACCAGGTGGGGGATTACAGCCAGGCTGCTTGGTCCTCACCCTGGGAGTGTATATTGCTAATATATTTTTATTTCTCTCCCTAGAACGTGTAAGAAAGCCATGGTCTGCATCTGAGGTGAAGGCTGTGGAGAAGACCATGACACCTTTCATACAGACTGGAAAGGTCCCTGGGAAGTCTCACTGCCTGGCCTGCATTAATGCCTCACCAGATGACCTTAGACATCGGACATGGAGTGGCATTAAATTCTATGTCAAAAATAGAATCACTGCAATTCGAAAACAAAATCTAAAATAAAATTCCTTTAAAATAGTTGTTTGGTTTCTATTGACTGTTTTGTATTACTTAAAGTCTTGGTAAAAAAAGATTATGTCTATGGGTCCCATTCTGAACGGCCCTGTCAAAGGGACCCACCAGGTAACAAAAACGTGTATGTGTGTGTGTGTGTGTGTGTGTATGAGAGTATCCATTTCTGTGTGCCTTATACCAGAGCGTGATTGTAGTTGTCCAGGGCCACACGTGCAGCTCTTCTGCAGTCTTCTTCCAATGCACATATCTCTCTCCCTCTTTGGTCCTCATACATCAGTCCCAGACCAGTGAGTGTGTCTGTAACACATAAAATGAGTTACCCACTGTTCAAAGCTGCTTTATTATGGCACAAGCTCAGGGTGACTTGCTTGCACATAGCAGCACTTAGGGATGAGCATTCATCAATGCCACCTGGCATAAAGGCTGTGCAAAGGAGTGTGTGATTGTTTGTGCAGCAAAGCCTGAAGCATGTGTGTGATTTAGGGCCGCTGTATTGTGACACATGTTTGCTCATAGTCACAATGCTCTTGTCTCCTCACCTCGGTGCTTCTCTGCCATGCGTCTACGCTCATTGTCGCTCTTTTGTGCACTCAAATTTCTTTCTGTAAATTTTATTTGTTCTATCCTTCTGTCTTTTGCTCCTTTGTCTTCTCCCTGCAATTAAGACAGAGCAACAATATACAAACATCTTTCAAATACATAATTATTTATGTAAGATTACCATGTTTTGTTTGCTGCTTTACGTCAAACCAAATCAAGACTGCATGATGAAGACATTTTAAATAAAGTATATGTATAATACTAGGTTAATCTGCTTTCACTATATCATATTTAACTGATCCTGAATGTTGCCAAGCATCTGTCTGGCTTACAAAACCATACCTCAAACATTTGCATACTGGCAGGGCCCAGCTCATTCTCTGGAACTGGGTGCGTCAGCGCCCCCCTGAGGTCATTGTTGAGACCTGCATCACGCTGGTAGGTGGACCAGTAATGGGCCAAATGTGAATGCACATTGATTTGCTGCTCTTTTTCACTGTTGTCCTGCTGCACGAGAGCTTCGTCTTGGTTCAGTCTAAGAAAATCTGACAGAGGTCAAGTTAATTTTTTTGTGCTAGTCGTGTAACTTTTCACTTTTGTTTGGACAATACTCAATATAGAATGTAGACATATCCAGGGCTGGGACAAAAAAACGGCCCGGGCATTTTTTCCTTCTTAGGGGCCCAGGCAACTTCAAGGTTCAAGGAGCCATATTTGACAAAAAAACTAAAAACAACATTTGTCTGGAGCCGCAAAAAAAACAAAACAGCATTGTATAAGGCTTATATGAAGGTAACGGGCTGAAGCTGTATTAGCTACATTAGCTATATTAGCCTAATATCTAAATGACAAAGTAAAGGCTACAAACACATAAAAACCATTCATGATTATCAAATGTGTATTTTCATTGCAGCGTGTCCTGAGAGAATGACACACCACGTGACGACTCTGCTTTAAGTTCAACCTTCATGCAATTGTACAAATAGAGTAAATAAATCTGCTTTTGGCTCCGAGTTCACCTGCATCACTGTCTGTTCATATCCATCACAGGCTGAAGTTTGCTGGAGCTGAATGTCCTTAATGGCCTTTTCTTTCACCGTCTTTGCGGAGGTATTTGAAGTCTGAAAATAGGTGCTCTGACTTTATGATGAATGAATCTTTCAGTGAACGTGTTTAGAGCTTCATTGTTCCTCCTGTTGCAACAAAACTTTTCATTACATCGCAAACATGAAGCAGTCCTTCTTCATTTACTGAAAGCAAATGTTCATTCTCATTCTTAGTCCAGTCTTATCGACTCTCTCTCTTTATCTTTGGGATCCATGCGCACACACAGTCTATGATGCGCACACGCCGGTTAGTTTACAGCAGCGGCCGCCTGGCGCGGGCCGCGTCACAGGATATGACGCACTACGTTGACAGAAATGCTAAAATTGAATATTACTAATGCAAGTTTTTGCAGCATTGAAAAACGTCAAGAATGTTTTTCCTCCTACAAAAACCACATTGAAACTAGAAATAAAATATAGCCCTCACACTCCATTTTCAGACATTTTTGAAAAGGCTCCAGGAGCCACTTTAGGGGCACTAAAGGTTGCCGACCCCTGGTTTATACAGTATGTGGAAGCATACTGTAGAGGATCAGGATGTCTGCAGTTTCAACAATAAAATAAAGTACAATAGTCCACATTAAACAGAGTAATAAACATGTCTCAGAGTGAGGGAGGTGGGCACAGACAATATTGTTTGTTACAGGGATGAGAATTGGTCAAAAAAGACTGAAATGCATAATGTCAGCCATTGGCTGGCTCTAAATCTGTTTAATCTGTTCACAACATTTTACTTTTGGGCTCAAACATGAACTTTTAATGCAATTGAAAATTTAGGTACCCGAGCTTTAATTTAGAGGAAAGGGGAGACCAGAGCCGCTGGATGCGGGAACACTGCGGCCGCTGAGGTGGTGGAATCCCGTTCGAGTAGATGCAGCAGGTGCCCCGCGGACACGCGCGCTCCCCTAAAACATTTCTCAACGGATTTACACTTTTCACAAACATCTTTTTTGTATGAGGCAGACAGACCGGCCCAAATATGGGCATCGGCCCTTCGGGCATTGCCCGGTACGCCCGATGGCCAGTCCAGCCCTGGACATATCTACATTCTAAAAGGACATGTGAAATAGAGCTCTTTGTTTTTATACATACATACATACATACATAACGCTAGTTACATGTATCCAAACCAATGCCAAAATATTATTATTTACAACTGTACTGTAAACAAATACTTCTACAGTAAAAATATAGTATTTGCAATGTAAGTTTGGCTATTTTTAGCTACCATAATTTTATAAAATGGGACTAAGCAGGACCAAATACAGTAATCAAACCAATTCTATGATCTGACCTAATGGCAAAATATTGGGTCTGAAGGCAATTCTTACCATGAGCCTTGTCCCGTTGTCTCTCCAAGTGTTCCTGGTGTTTTCTGTCCTGCACTTGTTGCTCCAGACCGTGGAGGTCCAGCCCCATTACGCGAAGCCGGGTATTAAAAATGCGCTCCTTTCGTGCAGATTCTGCTGCTCTGCGTCTCTCCACAGCTTTTGAAGTGTACTGGTCCTCCGGCAAATCCACTTTGTACATGGTGACTGCCTTACTCACCTGGAAAAAACAAACGACTGATTAATATAACCTAGCGCTATAATTTCGCTGCAATTAGCGTTACCTATTATGTATATAGGACTATCTAGTGATAAACCTTTTATAAAAAAATGTGTGTAATGGATTATGAAATATAGTCAACATGTGCTACTTTTAATAATCTTTAATGCCAGTTGTTTCAAAGGTTACATTTCTGTTGTGGCTGGCTAACGTTAACGTTATCCAGAGGTTAGAATGAGGACTGTTCCCAGATAACTAGAATATTAAATTTCAGTCGAAACCAATAAATATATGTATGTACTATCATGTTAGTAATAGTAAGTGAATTTGCTTATGCATAGCGAGTCAATGGAGACGTTAGCGAGATTATAAGACGACTCACCTTATCTTCGAAGAAACCTTCTGTTTTGTTGTCATGGTTACTGTAACTATGACAATGGATAGATATTTACATTGAAGAACGGGACCAATACAAAATTGTGACGCATAATGACAAAAAAGCAGTATTTTTCATAGAAAAAAAAACAACGCTAAAACAAACAAATCCAAAAGATTATCTCAGAAGTTGTATTCACGCGATAGAAAACGAGTTTACGTTGCTCGCGCGCACAAGCCACTTCCGGAAGAAGTGTAAAATGGCGCATTGTTTTCGCAATGAACTGCCGCTATTTTATCCGTTTTAGAAACAAACTACTAATAATTACAACTAAGTTAAAGTTTGCATGACGGTTTTCAAATTACACTCTGTTACAGTCTAAAGATCGTTTGATTGAGACAAATGTGCATGCATATTTAAGGGAAGTCTGATTCTGGAAGACATCGATAGTTAGCATTAGCTGGCAAAAGACATCAACACTTTTACCCGTTCACCTTGTTTAAGAACCAATATGGGATACCTAAAGCTCATTGAGATCGAGAACTTCAAATCATACAAGGGTCGGCAGATCATAGGACCTTTTCACAAGTTCACAGCAATCATCGGACCCAATGGCTCTGGTATGTTGTCATGATTTAGCCTCGCTTTTCTGCTAGCATTAGCCATTGTTCAAAACTACCGCTGATTGAACAGTGCGGCGTGTTGCGAGGAAGCTTAAAGCTTTAAGTTATTGACCTGGACTAGCGTTAGTAGTGAACAATATTGCGTTGCTATGTAGCAATAAAATTCTTGGGTTTTTTTGAGTGTATGGTATTGGTTCTTTCTATATTTCCATATCATATGTTTTGCAATGACCGCAAACATCTAGCTTTTAATGTTTAAGTTACTTTGTTTTTGTAAATTACTTTTATTTGTTCAGCTACTCAAAGGTATTGCCTTTCCGAAATGTACATCCTTGACACTCATGTTGTTACCGATATCATTATTATTTAAAAGGCTTTAATTACACTATTTTGATAATGACAGATTGATCTAGACAAATATTATTGTTTCAAATAACAGGTGGTTTACTAGAACGTGTATGAAATGTTATGAAACCTAGATAGACCTAGTTATTTTTTTCGAGAGAGATACATAATATTATCCTGATTACTTTGTTTATGTTGTTCTGCTGTTTGGGTGAGAAAATCACACATATCAACACATACTGTATATGTTGGAGTCACTGTAGAGCACTTACCAATAATCAATTACTAAAATGGTTGCTGATGATTGAAATAACGTAATTAGTTGTGATGCATTGCTAATTATTATTTATTTTAACAGGAAAGTCCAATCTTATGGATGCAATCAGCTTTGTTTTAGCGGAGAAAACCAGTAACTTGCGAGTGAAAACACTTAAGGATCTGATCCATGGAGCGCCTGTTGGAAAACCAGCTGCCAACAGAGCTTTTGTCAGTATGGTGTATCAGGAAGATAACGGAGAGGAGCGCACCTTTACACGAGGCATCATTGGTAAGTGTTGTTTTGATTAAAAATGATAATTGGTTTTGCATCTTTGGGTATCATCTTGATCTATGAACTGCTATTACATTATGGTCTCTGCAGGATCTTCTTCCGAGTATCGCATCAACAGCAAAGTAGTTGGCCTCCCTGAATACAGCGAAGAGTTGGAAAAACTTGGGATTCTGATCAAAGCAAGAAATTTCCTCGTCTTTCAGGTAATGCTGATAGCATGTTCACACACCAAAATGTACTGTATTGTGTCCTATTTGAGATATCGGTTGAATTCCACCCATTTTAGAAATGTTTTTGTGGAATCCTATGTAAGGGACATTAAGGAAATGAATAAAGCAGAAAACATTTATTTTTATACTTAATCTATGTTCACACCGAACTCGACTTCAAAAGCGTCAGGTTTGCATTGAAAATGAATGGTGACGCGCGTCAGGTGGCATCTTTTTTGCAAAGTTGAGAAAAGCTGAGTTTTTCGAGGTTACGCCGGGCGTCAACCAATCAGGAGACGAGGAGGAGAACCACCAGCAGCAGCAGCAGCTGCGGGTCTGTCATGGAAAGAAGTCATGTAGCTGCTGCTGCTGTAGCTCCTGGAGTAAATGGTGAAACTCAGCAAACACTGCAGCCTCTCAACTCTGTGGTGAACCCAGAACACGTTGGGTAGAAGCTACAACGACAATGTTTGGCTTTATATAACTAAAGGCTGTTGCTCTCTCGAAATCCGCCATTGTATCACTATACTGGCAACAAAGGAGCTCCTCCTACCTGGCGTCAGGTGCGCCGCGTCAGGCGCGTCAAGCACCAAAATGAAAAAATAATAAATCAAACGACGCGCGTCACAGGCGTTTTGAAGCTTTTGGTGTGAACACATCTAATAATTACTTGGAATGTGATTGTTATTCTTTGTTAGTAGACTAGATACAATACTTGAAAAAGTTCTGTATCTGTGATACCAGATTGTTTAAGATATGTCTAAAAGTTATATTGTTTTACAGATGTTTCATATCACAACTTGATCAGAACTAACTAATTTTTATCTTAACATTTTCCGTGCATTGTTAGGGAGCAGTGGAATCTATTGCGATGAAAAATCCTAAGGAGCGAACAGCATTGTTTGAGGAGATCTCTCGCTCTGGAGAACTGGCACAAGAATATGACCGCAGAAAGAAGGAAATGGTGAAAGCCGAAGAAGATACTCAATTTAATTACCATAGAAAGAAAAACATTGCTGCTGAGCGCAAAGAGGCCAAACAAGAGAAAGAGGAGGTCGGTCTCACCTTCTGCATTCATTTATTTTTCGATTCACATTTATATTCTTTGATAATTTTCTTTAAACTGCTCATTTTTTCTGTCCAATTAAAACTCATTAGGCTGAACGTTACCAACGTCTGAAAGATGAAGTTGCCAGGGCCAGTGTTCAACTGCAGCTTTTTAAGTTGTACCACAATGAGACAGAGATTGAGAAACTCAACAAAGAACTTGGTCAGCGCAACAAGGAGATTGATAAGGACCGTAAAAGAATGGACCATGTAGAGGAGGAGCTGAAGGAGAAGAAGAAGGAACTGGGCAGGCTGATGAGGGAGCAGCAGACTATTGAAAAGGAAATCAAGTAAGTTTAGTTTGTTTCAATGTTCAATTGACAAATTTCCTTTTTTATTAATGAATATTTTGGAAACAGGGAGAAAGACTCAGAGTTGAACCAAAAAAGGCCACAATACATTAAGGCTAAGGAAAACACGTCGCACAAAATTAAGAAACTTGAAGCCGCACGGAAATCACTCCAGAATGCCCAGAAGATGTACAAAAAGCGTAAAGGAGATATGGACGAGCTGGACAAAGAGATGAAAGCAGTCGAGCTGGCAAAGCAAGACTTTGAGGAGCGGATGGAGGAGGAGGCTCAAAGCCAGGGTCAAGACTTAACACTAGAGGAAAACCAGGTAATTTAATGTTTTTAATCAAAACTAAGTAAAACATACATTTCCTAAAATTACATTTCACACGGTTCTTGATATTTTTCTTTTGTAGGTTAAACAATACCATCGTCTGAAAGAGGAGGCGAGTAAACGTGCTGCTACTTTGGCTCAAGAATTGGAAAAATTTAACCGAGACCAAAAGGCAGACCAGGATCGCCTTGATTTAGAAGAGAGGAAAAAAGTGGAAACAGAGGTACAAGATTTTATTATTATTGAGAAAATATACTAGTCAGACAAGTAGAGCGAAGGAGCTATGATTGATCTGTATTATACGCAAAATGTAAATGAATATGATTTGTTTCAAAGGCCAAAATCAAGCAAAAGATTCGTGAAATTGAGGAAAATCAAAAACGTATTGAAAAACTGGAAGACTATATTACCACCAGCAGGTATTCATTTCTACCCTTATATATTTTACAATTTTTATAAGTGTTAAATGAGCATCCTCTTTTGAAAATTAATTTCAGGCAGTCTCTTGATGAGCAGAAGCGTATGGAGGAGGAGCTGACTGAAGAGGTGGAATCAGCCAAGAGGAGGATTGATGAGATCAACATGGAGCTAAACCAGGTAACATGTCAATGTGCATTTGTCACTGTGAGAATAGAATTACAGTATATGACAATCATAATTGTGCTGCAGGTAATGGAGCAGCTAGGAGATGCCAGGATCGACAGGCAGGAGAACAGCAGACAGCAGCGCAAGGCTGAGATCATGGAGAGCATTAAAAGACTCTACCCTGGTTCTGTGGTAAATATGTGTATATTATTGATGCTTTTACTGGTTATTTTGTGTAGACTGGAAAATGTAACTGTTGTTCCGTTCTAGTATGGACGTCTCATTGACTTGTGTCAACCAACTCAGAAGAAATATCAAATTGCTGTGACCAAAGTGTTGGGAAAAAACATGGATGCCATCATTGTTGACTCTGAGAAAACTGGCAGAGACTGTATTCAGTACATCAAAGAGCAGCGAGGGGAGCCCGAGACCTTCCTCCCACTTGACTATCTAGAGGCAAGTTACCTGACTTGTATAATTACTACATTTGATGTCAATCAGGACTTTTTTTTTTATTTGAGGCTAATTCTACTTATTTAATAAAAAGGTTAAGCCAACTGACGAGAAACTGAGAGAACTACGTGGAGCTAAGCTGGTGATTGATGTTATTCGCTATGAGCCCCCTCATATTAAGAAGGCCCTGCAGTACGCCTGTGGCAACGCTCTGGTCTGTGACAATGTTGAAGACGCTCGAAGAATCGCTTTTGGAGGACCCTACAGACACAAGGTGTGAATCTGTGAATGATTTGAAACAAAACAAAAAACGATGTGATTGATTTCATTGTTTGATATTTTTTCTTTAGACTGTAGCTCTGGATGGCACTCTCTTCCAAAAGTCGGGTGTCATCTCGGGAGGAGCCAGCGACCTCAAGGCAAAGGCTCGGCGCTGGGACGAGAAAGCAGTTGACAAGTTAAAAGAGAAGAAGGAAAAATTGACAGAGGAGCTCAAGGTACGTGCAAAAGTCATTCTGTCTCACTATGTTGACATTTCTAGCCTTTGTTTTCAAGAATTTGTGTTCATATTTTGCAGGAGCAAATGAAAGCCAAAAGGAAAGAAGCAGAGTTGCGTCAGGTTCAGTCTCAGGCTCATGGTTTACAAATGAGGCTCAAGTATTCTCAGAGCGACCTGGAGCAGACTAAGACACGCCATCTATCCCTCAACATGCAGGTAAATCAACAGTCAAAACCCAATGATGCACGTTTTTTCATACTAAAACCAAATACTAGCATTCCCCTCTGGCAAAATTGGACAGGCACTGTTACGGTGGCACAACACTGAAAAACATGTGTCTTGCAGGAAAAATCAAAGCTTGAAAGTGAACTGGCCAATTTTGGTCCTCGCATCAACGATATTAAGCGGATCATCCAATCACGTGAAAAAGAAATCACTGATTTAAGGGATCGGATGAATCTGGTGAGTCCACAAATGTTGTGGCTTTAGAAATGTAGCATTTGTATTTAACCATTAACTTCTTGCCATAGGTGGAAGATGAGGTGTTTGTGGAGTTCTGTAAGGAGATTGGAGTGAGAAACATAAGGGAGTTTGAAGAGGAAAAGGTCAAAAGACAAAATGAAATTGCAAAGAAGCGGTCAGTAGAAAATCTAGTGTGCATTTCACACCAGCAATTTATCATAAATAATGAATTTGTTTTGTATTCTAATATCTATCAACCTCAGCCTTGAGTTTGAGACTCAGAAGACTCGTTTGGGGATTCAGGTGGACTACGAGAAGAACCAGTTGAAAGAAGACCAGGAGAAGGTGATGATGTGGGAGCAAACTGTCAAAAAGGATGAGAATGAAATTGAACGTCTAAAAAAGGTACCAACGGGAAAAATAATAACGCAAATAATTGAATATTGCCGTTAAATGTTGTTAAATGTGTCTGTAGGAGGAGCATAGGCACATGAAAATCATTGATGAAACCATGGCCCAGCTCCAGGACCTGAAAAACCAACATCTCACAAAGAAATCGGAAGTTAATGATAAAAACCATGACATGGAGGAGATTCGCAAAAAACTGGGTGGAGCCAACAAGTCAGTGAATAGACATGAAAGTAAGTATTTTTAAATGTCACACAACGGTCATGGTTCTATTCTGGTCCTTCCAGAGAGTTGACACAACTCCAAAAAGAGGTAACAGCTATTGAAACAAAACTGGAGCAGAAGCGCAGCGACCGACACAACTTGTTACAAGCCTGTAAGATGCAGGACATCAGGCTGCCTCTTCGATCTGGAACAATGGATGATATCAGTCAGGGAGAGGTATAGATATTTTAACAAAAACACATTCATATTAAATGTTGTGTCCAGTCCCGTGATCAAAATTGGTAAACTATTGTACCAACTTTTTAGGGCAGTTCTCAGAATGAGGAGTCCAGCAGTCAGAGGACTTCCAGCAGTCTTTCAGCTAAAGAGGCCATGATTGAAATTGACTACAGCCACCTGTCTGAAGACCTCAAGGTAGTCCTCTGCTTCTCATAAAAGGTTTTCAAATCAGTTCCTGGTTATATTGTATTAATGTCATGCTTGCCACTTTGTTGTTACAGGATGCTCTGTCAGAGGAAGAAATCAAAGGGGAGACAAACACGCTTCAGCAGCGTTTGAATGAGCAGCAAAGCATTCTTCAGAGGATCAGTGCTCCCAACATGAAGGCCATGGAGAAACTGGAGAGTGTGAGAGACAAGTTTCAAGAAACCAGTGACGGTGTGTAAAATATTCACTGTGAAATTGGAATGTGTGCATTTTGTTCAATATTATTTTGTGTTCCATAGAGTTTGAGGCAGCTCGTAAGAGAGCCAAGAAAGCCAAACAAGCTTTTGAACAGATTAAAAAGGAGCGGTTTGATCGTTTCAATACTTGTTTTGAATCTGTGGCTACAAATATTGATGAGATCTACAAGTCTCTGTCACGAAACAGCAGTGCCCAGGTATGCCCTTATAAGTGATTCATTAAGATTCACGCTAGTAATATTTGTATAATTATTTTTGTCCATAGGCTTTCCTTGGCCCAGAGAATCCTGAAGAGCCATATTTAGATGGCATCAATTATAACTGTGTAGCTCCAGGAAAGCGATTCAGGCCGATGGATAACCTGTCTGGAGGAGAGAAGACTGTTGCTGCTCTGGCCCTGCTGTTTGCCATTCACAGGTAACACAAAACCAATGACTAATCTGTACCGACTGCATATGGATATAATATGTACATATTTTCCTTTGTTTCAACAGCTACAAACCTGCACCATTCTTTGTTCTGGATGAGATTGATGCCGCCTTAGACAACACAAATATTGGAAAGGTAGGATCATTGTTCCCTTTAAGCTGCGTGCGTGCTGAATTACGCAGTGCTTTTAGGGTCTCAGCGCACAGACAACTCTTTCCAGCACAAACCGCGGGCGCATATTTCAACAGTGTATGGACCACGGTGGATCTGCGCAGGCTTCATTCTCTAAAAAAAAGAAAAGGCAGATCCTCTCTGTCTATGACCATGAGGTACACTGTCCGCGAGTATGGGAGAAGCGCCCGACACAGAAGTCTGAATCTGCGTTTGATCCAGAACAGGGCTTGGACCAACAGCACCCTGCACACCGTGAACTCGCGGACTCGGCCTTGCTGCGGATTTGCGACTGGTGTCTCACGAGCACTAGACCAGGGATTAAAGAGTTCCGTCTAGGTGACGGATTTCCGTCAAATGAAATTGGTCTGGAAAAAAAAAAAAAATATATATAATGATAATAATACACACAATGAAATGATTGATTATAAAAATAATATATAGTAATACATATACGTGTGAATCTGTTATATATATATATATATATATATATCAATGTATAATAATAATTTGAATATAATTGTATTTATATGTATATAGAAATAATAAGTAATATAATCACGAGTGGGCCTTGAACGTGCCGTGGCCACATGAGCGCTCCGCAAATGAATCAAGGCAATGGGACGTAGCTGAGCTCACGCGCAAATGAAGACGCGATGAAGTTAGCATTGGTAACACGGAGGTGAAAGTTTCTGGAAACTGCACCGAGCTTTTGAAAAGGAGAAGAGGAGGAAAATTGAATCTCGAACGGAGCAATAACAGCAGCAGATCCGCGGACTGGTAAGCTGGGCGCGTAATAGAGGAAAGGTAATTAACGTTTACCAAACGCAATGCTATTTTACTTAACGGAATGTAAAAAACGGACTTTGCTGCGACTGGGAATGGGGACAAACATGTCTTGGTGAGCTTTTGATATTGTCTTGTTTGCGATCTTCTTGCAAAACTCAGCGTGATGTAAAAGAGCCAATCAACGAGTCATGGTGCGAAAAGATGAAAGTGGCCGGTGCTTGTGCGTACTTTTCCATAAAAAATTGCATGTATGGGAGAAATGAGAAAGTTTTGATTCGCCACCAGCTCAAAACTGCGCACAAGGCAGCTGTTTGTGCACTTTCCCACACTTCATCTTTACCTGGTGCATCAGCAACAACTAACACTAGGCTTGCTATGGCAGACCGTGTCTGTGGCTTTATCGCAGAAAATAACGTTCAGAATATCACTACCGCTGGTAGATTTATTTAAATCATTTGCAGTTGATCGAAGCGCACTGTGCACTCAAACTTGATAGGGAAACCTTTTTCTTAAATATTGACGTGTCCACAAACAAATGTGGACAGAATTTTATCGTCCTTTTGCAATATTTTGACGAGGACAGAGCCAAAGTATTGACGCTCCATATCGCCTCAAGTAAAGCTACTCTCACTAATATTCTGTCAAAAAGTTTACTCGTTGCTTGATCCACTTATATTTCATATCAAAATACACTGTATATCTTTGAAGAATTCATTTGAGCTGTATTCAATATACAATCTATTATACAATAATAAATTGTAATTACAAATATAACTTGGTCCTGCATATTACTGTGATTTACATGTGATAAATTTCCATGCGAAAATTTTCAGTCAAATCTTTTTTTTTTTTGCTTTAACCCCTGCACTAGACCAGCTGCAGTGTGTGCGTGGAGCCACAAACACACCTAAAGCGCACGCACTTATGTAGGGAAGACCAGGTCTGGTCAGACCAGCGTCCCCTTCAGTTCAGCATGAAGTTGCCTATTGCTGATTTAAGTTGGTTTTGTGGCAATATGACTATTATTATCTTGGATAATTATAGGTCTATGGATCTTATTTTATAATGCCATATGACTAAATGCAACCATGTACTATACTATGTATTAATATACTCTAAATAGTCTATATTAAATATGAATAGACAACATTTTCTTTGAATATTTTGTGTTTTTAGTGCAATTCACCAAATATATTCCTCAATCTACTTTAATTCACCATCTTGAATCATGATCAGGTGAATACTGAAACAAATCATAGTTGGTTGAAGCTGGAGTAACTTAAATAAATGGGATCAGCAGGTGGTTTTCAACAGAGATATCTCGCTGAAAGTGTTCCACGTGCCGCTCAGGGGGTTTGTCTTTACCCTGACCCATGAAAAATTAGAGGGAACATTGGGTAGGATGACATTCAGTTTCTGTGTAATAATTTGTTCTAAAATGTCTTTGACTGTCTGTTGTAGGTAGCCAATTACATCAAAGACCAGTCTGTACAAAACACCCAAGCAATTGTCATTTCTTTGAAAGAAGAATTTTACACGAAGGCCGATTCACTGATTGGAGTTTACCCCGAGGTTTGTGTTCTACTGATAAAAAAGCTCAATTTAATGTCATAATAACATGTCATAATATTTTGCTTTCTTGCAATTGCAGCAAGGAGACTGTGTCATCAGTAAAGTGCTGACGTTTGACCTTTCCCAGTATCCGGACGCCAATCCAAATCCAAATGAATAGAACAAGCACCTACAGTTTTTTAACCTCCTTTTTAATCTTCCTTTGTCTTACTCTGTAGTGACACATCATGTAGCCTTAGATAATGTATTTAACTTTGTTTTTATGCTTTTGTATATGCTCAAACCGTAAGTTTTTAGTTACAAGTGCAGAGTTTCTCATAGCCAGACAGACAACCATGGGACAGATTGAGCCACTCCTTTTTGATTGGACTTCTCGTGTTCCGAGTTTAATCATGTGTGAAACAAAGCTTTTAACTGCTATGTTCATTTGTTGTCAACATGTACTAAGATGATGTTTTTATACTGCTTATGGCCTTCTGTCAGTGATGTGATTTGAGCTCTATTTTGTTTCTGTGGGCTACATTTGAACAGATTTCTGTAAGATAACAGTTACAGCGTAAACATTCCCAGTGTAAGGTGTACAAATACTCTTCATGACTCCACAAAGCTATTTTATGCTTTTTATTTGTCTGATCACTTTATTCAAAACATTTCGGTTCACTTAAACATTCTGGTGCAATGTCTATGACTGGTTTGTTGATTACTTCAATAAATGAAAAGGTTAATTCTTTTTTTAATCCAAATGTAATTTTATCTCTCAAATCTGTGCTCTGCAACACCATCATACCCATACCTCTTACTCCAGTCTGTCAAATAATTCAATCTGCTTCGTCACATAACTTACAATGCTTTATTCCAAATGATAAAAAGGATTGAAGCCTGTTATCTTGCCAAGATTTGGCAGTATTTGTAGTTCAGCCATAGTAATGTAAAACATCAAGACGCCTGGACGTAAAAGTGCAGTATTGCAAGTACACACAATCATGAATAAATATTATGCAGCTGAGTCCACGCTACTCCAGGTACAAGGACATTTTACAAGACTTTTTGATCTATTTACACAATATGAACAACAATGTGGTTTTAACTATTGATAATTAATTCAAATGAGTCCCTGTTAAAAAAAAAAAAAAATTGTCTCCTGGTTCCGCTGATCACTTAGAGTGAAGAGCTTCAAGAAACCACAAAACAAAACCTACAGGAGACATGAACACCTCGCCCTTGTTGATCAAAACTGCACCACAACCAATCGGCCGGTCGATCTTTGGCCTGGATGCTTAAGGCCGTGAATACAGCCTGTTCAGGTTTTCTCTTCAGTCCTGTCTGAACTGAGGCCGTCGGACACATGGCTCACAATCATGTGGATCACCCGCATGTAGGAATGGGTTACCTCACACACTTCAGAGACTGGTAATTGTCCACTTCAAAAGGGTTTATTTTGTCATTACCAATTATTACATACTGTACATGGATCCACTATGATGATGAACCATTATCCAGTCATACTGAGTGGCGTAAGGCTGAGCCAACCGTGTGTAAAAATAGTGTTTTCAAGACAAACATTGCTTTAAACATAAGAGTCTGCCTCGTCCTCCTCCCGGGACAGTGAGGGGATCACAGGCACAGGACGCCGTTTTCTCCTCACAGATGGTTCAGGACGGCTGCTCTGTTGGCCACTAGAGGGGGCAGCAGAGCGGGCAGAGGGGGCAGAGGGGGGCGCGGGGATGGGACGTCTCTTTTTGTTGGAGGTCTGAGAGCTGGAGCGTTCTTTGAGCAGGTTCTCAGCAGCGACCTCCATCTCAGACACAGATGGAGCAGCAGATACAAACCCAGGGTCCCCGGCCAGAGACCTCACACCGCCTTTGAACAGGGCCTGTGACAAAAAAGACATTCAGTCAGAGCTGTGCTAAAGATGGAAAGAACAAAAACTCAAGTTTAGATTGTGAAAGATCCTAGTGATGTGGCAGTGAGGAGCACTGACTCCTTTTGATGAAAGCTCAGTATGACGGGCAGCTTGAGATTCTACCTCGTTCCTGTGTGTCCTCGTCCTTCACTGTGATTGTATTAAATATTAGGTTTAGGGGCGGCATAGTGGCGCTTCACAGCAAAAAAGGTTATGGGTTCCAGGCTTTTCTACGTGGAGTTTGCATGTTCTCCCCGTGTCTCTTTAGGTTTCCTCCGGGTACTCCGGTTTCCCCAACCACTAAAACATGTACAATAGGTCTGGCATCCGCCTCCTGTATCTATCCCATCTCTGTGTGGAGTGAGAGGACATGTCCCCAAAAATGATAAAGCGCTTTGTGACTCTGCGAAATGCGCTATATAAATAGATAATATTTACTCCTATGTACGCCAATAACAATATTCTTTCACCAGTTCCATTTTAACTTAATTTCAAGTATTTAAAAAAGTATATTGAGATGCTCAACATGGGTAAAAAAAATCTTGCCCCAAATTGATCATCCCGACATTCAGTGCATTTGAGCTTTTTGCGTTGTGCCTGTTTGGTTTACAGATCTAAAATATTACAGACAGCAGAGGACTAATTAGTGTAATAAACAGCAGAGAAGACAAAAGCACACACAGGAAACATAACAAAGACAATCATGTGACAGTTAGAAGCACTCCGCAGTAATTACTGTCAGAATCTGTACCTTCTGGACGAGTCGGTCAGCAGCCGACTGGGAGCGCTGGCTCTTCCTGTCATCATCGTTTGGGTCGTACGGAAACTAAAGACAGATGAATCCAAAATGTAAATAATTCGCATAACTCTCTGCCTTGAGACAGAGACAATGTTATTTTAGTACCTGTGTTTTATTTGCTTTCATTGAGAGGTTCCAAGAGTCTGTTGATAAAAGTAAACTATTTAAATTTTATAATGCCACATAAATTGTTATTGTGAAAATGTCCCCACATACTATTACTTAATAGTAATAATAATGTTTTTATCATTATTATTATTATCATTATCATTATTATTGATAAGACAAACAAAACAGGTGCATTGAAATACAAATCAAGTCCAACATATACAGTAATACATATATAAGACAAAAACAAATAATACAAAACCAGTGCATACATGTAGGTATCTGCTGTTATGTAGAAGTAAAGGGTATCAATACATGAGAGAAGTTTGATAGCATTAAGGAGTTAGGGATAGTTTTTTTTTTTTTCTTCTAAAAGACACATTTGTGTATGTAGTGTTTAGCTATCAATGTAATCTTATATTGATAGCTAAACACATACACAAAAGTCCGTTAAACTGTTATTTCATACTTAGTTGTTCTGCATCCTCCAGGTCGAATTCTGCAGGGCTTCCCTCTCTTTCAAATGAAAAACTGAAACAAAGAATACGAGCATATAGGTAATTTTGGCTGGATTAGGTAATACGCATGTTGCATTGTCTCACTCAAAAGCATTGTTGTTAGTGTTGCTCCTGGGAGGGGCAATTGGGAAAAACTCTACGTCTGAGGTTGGGGACCCGTCAGGTTGACTCTCAGAGAACTGCAGAGGGCGCTGGGCAGTCATTTGTTGGTTTGTTTGAGCAGTGGCAGGTTCAGAAGAGAAGGAGGTGACACGGTTTCCAAACAAGCCATGGGAACGCTGAGGGCAAAAGAGCTCATGAGGTTCTGAGTAACTGTCACATTCTAAAGAATTATCAAAAATTACCTGGAAAATGGCCTCCTCTCCAGCTTCGTCCATGGCGCGGTCCATCTCCTCCTCGTTCTGCAAGTCTCCAGAAATTGCCCGATGCATCTCTGGAGCCGCCTCTTCTTCAATACTCCTGAGGCCCGCCTAAGAAAGCCCAGCAGCAGAAAACAAAAAATACTATACCTTAAAGCTAGGGTAACTAAGTTTCAAAACACAAATAATAGCCTCAAGGAAGAACCTCACTCTCCAAACACTAATATTTTTTCCCTTCGTCACATCTTTAAATTAGCTTTTTTCAGACAGAATATAAAAAAAGAATCTCAGCCAATCAGCTTTCAGCCCAAAGCGTCAAAAACTGATACACAGGACTTTAATGGAAGACAGCATGTTGTGATCTGAATTGTTCATAAGAGTTTCATGTTTCAATACTCTTTCTGTTGAGACAAACAACATGCATTGTTTATGAAAACATAAACCCTAGCTATTAATTGTTGAAATCGTTCATGGGCTTTATTTTCCTGTTCCATGCGGATTGTTTTTCCAATCAAAACATTTAATTTCTAATCACTGACAACAATCCTTAGTGGTCATCGTTCTGAAATCCATGGACAAAGCTTTGCTCGTACCTGTATCTCTGGGCCTGAGGCACTCTTCTTGGTTGGTCTGTAACCATAGTACTCCTCTTGGCGCTTCATGAATTTGCGGAAATGGTCTTGGAGCAGGAAAGTGGCATAGAATTTACCCACAGTCACCTCATCATCTGCAAGCAAACGTAAAACAACAACAGACTTTTAACATGGCAGTCTTTTCTTAATCTCACTCTGAAATACTGCAGAGTTCTGACCTCCTATTGGCGGGATGACCTGATCCAACAGCTTCATACTGGTGCGCTTCCAGATCTTTTTAATGATGGCTCTGAGCTCCTCATTAGCCTGCTCAAAGTTCCCTGTGTTAAGAAATCATCTTTAGAACCAGCTATAAACATGGTTCCAGCTTTTTCATTTTTGATACTTAAGTCGATACTTGGGCTTTCAAAAAATGCTGTTACTAATGGTGTTGAAATACCATATTTTCCCTTCAGATCTCAGTTAACTTAATACAAAACTAGCTGATTTCTGTTAGTTCACAGGAACGCCATGAATAGAACAGGATAATGGCTTATCCAATAAAAGAAAGAAAGAAAATAAAAAGTCTATTTAACACCAGTATTGTTTCGATGCATCCTCAGGGACACAGAAAATAAAGAGGATGAAGTGTAAAAAACCTTCAGTTTTGATCTTGAGTGCAGTCCTGACCAGAGCGAATAGTGTTGCGTTGAAAGTAACAGTTCCATCACTGTTCAGAGGCATGTTCATTCCAACCAAACGCTGTTGACGAACAAGAATCTTTAGTCACTAATCAAAAGTAAAAATACTTGTTCTACGCAGAAAGAACTGCACCTTGCAGGCAGCTCTGTGAGGACAGAACTTTCCAAATCCAAGTGGCGGCTGGATACGCCGCAGCAAAGTGACCACATCCAGATGTTTAATTCTCCCTCTGTTTAGACATACAAATACAAATACAATGTGTTTTACTTCATTATGCACACATTTACACCATCCTGTGCAAAAATATAAACACAACGTTACACATTTACATGTTTCTGCCTACATCCAGGATCACAGGTCAATTGATCCCTGGACTCTATGTGAAGGGAATGTAATGAATTTTTTTTAACTGTCCATAAACATAATACTTCAAAATATCAGGAATAATATTAATATTTGGAATCCTTAGTTCCTTAATTCCCTTAATTCATCAATGCATTTTCCAGACGTTGTGGTTATATCTGTATTCAGTGTAAAACAGCTTACGTTGCTTCCGGATCATATTCAGCCCAAATCTTTTTGAACTCATCCAAATGGTGGGGTCCGAGGAGAGACCAATCACGGGTCAGATAGTCAAAGTTGTCCATGATAACGGCAACAAAGAGATTTAGAATCTAAAAAAAAGAAAAGGAGAACTAAACAAACACAATTCAGTCATATTGTAATAAGTCTGAACTCGCTGCTCACCAAGAAGGCACAGAGACAGTAGAAGCTGAGGAAGTAGATGACCGCAAAGCCCGAGCCGCACGTGTACTCCTCCCCAGGCAGGTAGTCGGATTTTGGGTCACACTTTTTCCCATACATAGATGCCATCATGACCTCCTGCCACTGCTCTCCCGTGGCACACCTGGATTACAAAGCATGCAACAGTCGAGATTTTAATCTTCCTTTTAATCACTTATTCCTCCTTTGATTGCAGCTCAAATAAGTCCATTGTCATTCACAAGAGACAAGACAAAGTTGACACTCAAGGGTAGAAGAGTAGAAATTATGAATGCCTCCCCAAATTACAGTTTGACGTTACTGGATGAATTTATACTATTTCAAAACAATAATTGACAATATTTATATAAAGCTAGAAACTTTTGTCAATGTAGTAAGAAAAAATCCTTGTATCAAAAAATTGAATTACTTATAACTGGCTTCAAACTAGTGAAATAATGCACGTCTCATAGGTAAATAAAGACAATAGAGCTAAATCTAGATTAATATCCTGCATTCAAGTCATTTTTGGCATAAAGATATTTCTTTTTTGCTGTGTCACATCAACAATAAAACAAAACTCTTAGGACTTACCGGAACAACATTAGCACTGCTTGTGGGAATGTCTGGAAGTTATTGTTGCGGTTTATTTGGGTGCCGTCAACTAACGCTATTTTCCCAAATATCTGAAATAATGAAATATAAGAAGTGTTTGTTGATCAGCTGAAGTCACACTGCCCTAGTGCGTATATACAGTCATAGTGTTATAGTATACATGGAGTTTACCTGCATTCCAATGACGGCATAGATAAAGAAGAGCATTATGATAAGCAAAGCCACGTGGGGTAGAGCCTATGGACAACCAGCAGAAATGGTCAGAGTTTTGACAATGACAAATGCAACGTTGAGAGTTCCGAGGATTGATACCTGGAAAGATTTGATAAAGGTCCACAGCAGGTTCCGGATTCCCTCAGAGCGGTTCAGCAGTTTCACAAGACGCATGACACGGAAGAGTCTGAAGAACGTGATGGAGACGGAGGCGTTTTCAGATGCCTGCAGAGAGGATACTTCAGCCACAAAATACAGAGGCGTGATTTTGCATCATATCAGTATCCGCTTACCGCAATAGCCTGCATTGGGTTTGTTTCCTGTATGAAGAAGACAGTGATGTCAGCAGTTTTCAACAAGAGATAGGTGCTAACTTGCCCTCCAAAGTTCAACACTGTTAATAGTGAAGCATTGGTATGTTTTTAATCTCAAACTCACTCCTGATTTTCTAAAAACTATGTCCGTGGTTCTCAACTGGAATGGTGTCGGGACCCACCATCAACTTACAACGGCAACCAAAATGAAGCCACATAGAAAATAATAATGTGAACTATTGTTTTAAAAGCATTGGACCATACTAGAAAACTGAAATTATGATCAAAATAACTCCAACAGACTCTGGAATCAAGGAAATAAACAAAGAAGCAATACTTGAAGTCCATTTAAGATTTAACCCATTTTAAGAAATCTGCCAATGGGCCAAGTTTTTTATTTCAAGTGATTTTTTATTATTATTTATCTAGTTAAGTATACAGAGTTTATCATCAGTGAATGTCTTAATATTACTTCCCTTGAATTAAGGGGTTTTTTTTCCCTGAAAAGAATCTAGATTTAAAAAAGAAAAGAAAAAAGAAAAAATTGCTGATTGGGATTTAAAAAGTATCCCGCAACCCACTGTTGAGAACCACTAGACTACGTCATGCCAGACATGAACACAAAACTAAATATTATGGTTGCATTCGTCACAAGTTTCGTAAATGCTTTAACTTAATTACCTTCCTAAACGAGCATTCGTACAGAGCCCAACCATACAGGACCAAATGTACAGATAGTGGCCTCACTGTAAGATCAGACACGGGTTTGGTTTGGTCAGTAGTCACGCACCTGGATCCATGCTTCAGGAAAGGTTAGTACAAACAGAGGAGTTTTATTCACACGGCTCATGCAGCAGTGCAGATATTTACAGCACAACCGTGGAGACAGTACAGGCCTCCACTGGCGGCCAGGGCGCTCTGTGGGGGACACAGTGACAGCATGAGGAGAGGGCAACAGAAGAGCATGAGAGAAGCTGTGTGTTTATGTGCAACAGCAGTGCAGAAGTGTAGCGGAACAATGTTGGTGTATAAAAGCACAAAAAGACAAGTAAAAGTGATATTAAATACAATTAATGTTGTGACACATCTAATTGTAAAAACAATATTACAAGTATTTGCAAGATTTATTTTTTACATGTTTTTCATCTTATGGTTGTAGTATCCAAAAACTATACATGGAGTGGAACTTATTTCTATAGCTTAGACCTACACAAAAAGGGGCTGAAGAGAGGCCTAATGTGTAAATTCTTACTTAAAGCTAGATTACCTAACTTTCAAAATTAAACAATCCATCTAACTATTCACTAGTCACTAGTTTTCTAATTTCTGTCACATCTTTAGATCAGCTATTTCAGACAAAGAGTGAAAAAGTGGAAGAGTGAAAAAGTTGGAAGGAAAAGTACCGTCGTTTTATATGGAATCAAAATCTGTCAAAAGTGTCCATCGGTTCCTGAGTGATGTGGTATTTCATATTTTTACCTGTCAGTAAACAAGTTGGTTTGAAGTATTTTTATTTTTCTACTCACGTCCACTTCACTCAGGATTACATCAACCACGCTGCCAATGACTATAATGAAGTCAAACACATTCCACGGGTCTCCAAAGTATCCCTGTGAACAGAGAGCTGTAGTTGCAGAGAGGAAACACAGGAGTTTGTGAGGAGGACGTGGGTCTTACTCTCGCTTTGAAGGCCATGAGTTTGAGGATCATCTCCACCGTAAACAGCACAGTGAAGATCAAGTTCAGATTGTCCGACAGTTTAGTCACATGGTCTGATTGGTTGCAGTGCTACGAGGGAAATATTCAAACATTAGTCTCAGAACAATACCTTAAATAAAACACAAAGAATTATAGGGAGACATTTTGTTAAAACGGCAACTTATCAATTATAACACACAAACTATATTATAACACTAAAGACTACCTAACAATTACAACACTTTCTCGTTGCCGTGGAGAGGAAACACATGCAGGGAAGACACATTCTCCTGATGCACAAAGGTTGTCAACGCTGTCAAAAATAATTGTAGTTTTGGGCATAAATTAGGACTTCTTTGACAAGCTTGAGGTAATAGGTAATAGTTTGAGGTCCGGATGATGTAATATCACCAAGTAATAAAGAGTCCAAAGTTGTTTTCCAATCAGGATGTAACAACAATGCTTGTATCAGGCTTATCACATGTCAAATGTAGTGTTTGAGGCAGGCCATACTTGTATACAATCTCAATCAAAGCTGACATTGTTTTTTTTTATCTGTTTATATGTGGTACAAAATAAACTATCTTTAGGAATGAGAAGGGTGGAGGGTCAGGGTCTTGGATTGGCGAGTATTCCTGACAGTAAAATTGAGATATCATTTTTCTGACCTGCATTCCAAGGCAGAGTGTGTTGAGCATGATCAGGAAGAACATGAGGTACTCAAAGTAGCAGGAGGTGACGATGTACCAGACCCTGTACTGGTACGGGTTTTTGGGGATGTAGCACCTCAGTGGGCGAGCTTTCAGGGCATACTGGACACATTGACGCTAGGGAGACACAAACAACACATCTTTTTGACAAAGACGGTTTTTCTTTTATTATACTTCTGTTTTACATTATGGAGTTATTTTGACCAATTACTTTATTTTACATGAGTTTATATTTCTCTTTAGGCAAAGTATTCTGATGAAAATACGAATGAACCAAAACTGGACCAAATGAATATATTAGAGTGTAATGAAGACTAAGATTCCTAGTAGGAATAATAAGGTTGCAGGTTGATAATACAAATCATTTGAGAGGTCTGAGTTTGACATGCCTGCTCTAGCTCACTAATAGTACCTGGTTTTTATCGAGTTCACAGTTCTTATACTCCTGCTCGCCCTGCTCTTGGAAGGTGACGATGACAAAACCCACAAAGATATTCATCATAAAGAAGGCGATAAGGATGATGTAAATAATGAAGAAGATGGACACATCCACTCTGTTGTTGAAAACTGGGCCCATGTCTTCCTGGTCTGAGTCGATCGCCCTGTACAAAAGTCTGGAAACAGATAAATAGGGAAAATGATCAAGGCCAAAAGCAAAATTGAAAAGTTGTAAAGTGATTGTCTGTGACATAAAGCCGTACTTCAGAGCCAAGATTTAAACTGTGGTCTAATTCAATCAAGATGAATACGAAATTGAATCTTTCAAAACCACTCACTTTGGCCAGCCTTCAAAAGTGGAGACAGTGAAGAGAGCCAGCATGCCAACAAGCACATTATCAAAGTTAAAGTCGCTATTAATCCATTCTCTTTTGGCAAGAACTGTGTCCTCAAGGGAGTTTTCAACATGTTTATAGAAAAATCCTCTGCAAACAAACAAACAAACAAGTTAACTGACTTAAATGATATTATATTTCAAACAGTTCCCTTACTGGCATTGTTCCTCTGTCAGTTTCACCGGATCAGAGCAGCTGTAGAATTTACCCTATCAATATAAGAACATATGTGAACTTTGAATTCCTGCATTCTATGTATTATTTCTGGTTGCACCAGATTGTGTTAAACTACTTTTCATAAATTAAAAAACATATTTTAGATTCAAATAAAATAAATGTATTTATAATACTTTTACTTTAATAACAATGTATCTTCAATAAATTAAATACAAATGCATCAATAGTGCTGTGTTTTTGTTAAAATGTGATGGCGATTCCATTGTATTGTATTGTTTAGAAAGATTGTTGAATAAATATTGAATTGTATCATATCAGCAGGCACTGAATATAAGGTAGGTATTCGTGGAAATAATAGGGATCTAATGACATAATCTAAGCAAAAATCTATGTAATAATCTAAATGAATATAAGTAAAAAGCAAAATATACCTTAAAAAGTTGGACGCCGATACAGGCAAACATGAAATTCAGTAGCATTGTGACCAAAACGATGTTTCCAATAGTCTTAATGGCCACAAACACACACTGGACAACGTGCTGTCAATACAAATAATAATATTGTTTTTAGAAACTGGTCCCTTATTGGTTGATTTCCCAGGATGCATTATTATTCAGCTTTGTATCTCACCTTTAATCCTTTGGCTCTATTGATAGCTCTGAGGGGCCTAAGCACTCTCAACACCCTGAGAATCTTCACTACAGAGATGGCACTTGATCTAGACACAGCAAATACACAAGTAATAAAGAGGATGACTCTCTGTGAGAAATCCTTATATTTAATATGGTCCTTACTCCATTCCCATTGAAAGCAGGGAGACGCCGACCACAATCAGATCAAGGATGTTGAAGGAGTTACGGCAGAAGGAGCCCTCGTGCATAAACGCCCCGTAAACAGTCATCTGACCCATTATAACAAAACTTTGTATAGTTTACAAATATCAAAATGGCCTGACAACATGGACAAATGAACCTACCTTTAGCACAATCTCAATGGTGAAGACAGTTGTGAAGACAATGTCAGCATAGGCCAAGATCTGATAAAACACCACAACGGTTTGAAATATCCCGGTATATTTGATTTAAGTATAATATTCAATTTAAACATAATGTTACCTGATTTCTTGGGGACTTGGGGTCAATAGGATCCTCAGCCGCCAGAGAGATTGAGGACAGAAGAATGAAGAGCAGAATGAGATTTGTGAAGGAGGACGCATTGATGATCTTATAGCACAGCTTGCGGAACCTAAGCAACCACAGAGATGAACAAAGATGGACAAATATATCTGATGATCAAATTCAGAATGCATTGTGGGAAGGGAAGAGTGATGTTTGTACTTGTTTTGAGGCCCAAAGATGTAGAAGGAGCTGGCCTCTGGCAGGGGGACGGCCTCCTCCTTTAGCTGCAGGTCTGCCATGGGTCGAGGACGAGGACTGCTGGGGATCTCTGGCTCTTCCTCCTCATCATCACCTGAGGAGAGCATTCCACACGCAGTAATAATTATACACATCTCCAAGTTCTAGAAATGCTTCAGGAAATACGGATTTTCCAAACTTGAACAGCAATAGCAGCAGCAATTTTGAATCTTGATGTCAGATGTGACACTTAATGTAATTAATAAAGTTGGTGGATTGATGTTGTAATAGAATAAATATCCAAATAAATGTACAAGTTCTTCTTCTTCTTTATATGGAAGTTAGTAGTGTCAGTAGTCACACTAAGTTTAGATCCACTGGCTGAGTCTATTAATAAGTAGGCTTTACTACCAGTGTAATGCAGCGGCCTGGGAGCAGGAGCATATCTGTTGACTCTATCTTATCTATGCTTTCATTCAAAACGATATCAAATATGTTGAATGAATAAGAAACATATTTATACCAGGGAAGTCTGCTGGGGGGAATGGATCCTTTACTTCATTAACATTTGATTCAAATTCATCAACTTTGAGCTGAAAAGAAAACATAATGATGTGTATTAGAAAAAGGTGCTATGTGTTCCTGTAGTGGTGCATGGTTTCACTACAGACACAAACCTTGGCCGTCGTGGGCATTCCCTCGATCTTGGCTCTCTGCTCTGCCAGTTTCTTTGCATATCTCTCTCTCTCCTCATCTGTTTTGTCTGGCATTTTAGATCTGAATGGGAAAGGAGATATTTATGCAAACTTATTCAAATCAGAAGCCAATTATGTATTTTACTGTGATCCCTGTTGTCTCATAAGTAAATACCGTAGAAGTTTTCTTCGTAATTTATCCTCTGCCTTCTCTTTTTGTGCTGAAGTTAGACTCTCAGCTTCAGCCAGATTGTCCACAGCAATGGCCAAAAAGACATTGAGAAGGATGTCTGAATGAAGCTTAAGGGAAATATATATTTTGAACCTTATGGAGTATAGTTAGTTGTTTATATATTAAATAACTGGATAGATTTTTGTAAACTGCATAAATAGTACAGTGATAATAGTATAATAAATACATGTAATAAGTACAATACCATGTCTATTGTCCTAAGTGGAATGTACAGTAATTTGCAAAAAAGGATACAATTACCACAGACAAAGAGCACAATGAAATAGATGGCCACAAGGATGCCAGGAATAACTGGCCCACCATACGCCATTATGCCATTGTTCATGATAGAAGTCCAGTCCTCGCCTGTTAAGATCTGAGAGAACATAAAGTGAAGGATGGAAAAACAAATGATTAAAGTTACGAAGCAGAGAGAAAGACAGCTCACCTGAAACACGCTAATGAGAGCCTGAGGGAAGTTGTCAAAGTTACTGCGTCGCGGTCTGTTATCAGAAAAGTTGAACTTTCCACCAAACACCTGCATGCCCAAGAGTGAGAAAATAACAATGAAGAGGAAGAGGAGGAGAAGCAGGGACGCGATGGAGCGGACGGAGTTTAGGAGAGAAGCCACGAGATTACTGAGGGACGTCCAGTACCTTGAAGAGGACACAGACACGTTTATTATACATGTCTAAGGAAACAGCTCACGTCTGCAGCGGCAGGTCTTACTTTGTAACTTTAAGGAATCGAAGCAGACGGATACACCTGAGCACAGAGAAGCCCAGAGGGGTGACCGCTCCAGCCGACAGCATGATCATCTCCAGGATGCCACACATCACCACGACAAAGTCAAAACGATTAAAAATAGACATGAAATACTGTCTCGGGGCCAGAGCATACATCTTAATAAACATCTCCAGGACAAACAGTACCAGTAACACACGACTGGCCACATCTGGAAATAAAGGTTTACACATGAGTACACACTATTGCAACGATAGTAAATAAAGTGCTGCACACACACCTTGGAGGTTTGTGAGCCGATCAGACTGGTGGTGATGCTCTGTAGCGATGGTCAGGGTGTTGAGAAAAACCAGAATCATAACAATCCAGTAAAAGGTGTTGGTTTTGACATAAATGAGACACTTCATCCTAAAGAATCGGTTCCAGCGGCGAGCCAAGCGACTAACAAGCAAAAGTATAAAAAAAAAAAAGAGTAAGAAAGAAAAAAACATATGTCTAAAGGGTTATGTTTGAAGTTACTTACTAGTAGTAGATTACTTTACTTTTCCCTTCCAAACCATACAAGCTGTCTGTGTCATCCTCTCCATTGGTCAAAGGTAGGAGTCCTGACAAAAGAAACCCATGCATTAGCTATAAGAGCTGTATTTGCCCTGATGTTTTAACACAAACCTTTGCCCTCTCTATCAGCATCCAGCACTTCAGCGTGAGTGATCCACTCCATGTATCCATGAAGGTCCTCATCCAACTGCTGACGTTCTCGTAACTTCTGAAACTCTCCTCTTGACTTGGCCTTTTCTCGCTCTTTGGTGAACTCTCTATAAGGAACATTGTTGCTTAATTACAGGAATAAAAATACAAAAGGCTCCTACACCGTAACAAAGGTAACTTACCCACTGAGTACACCCAAAACTAAATTCAGCACGAAGAACGAGCCTATCAGTATGAGTGGAACAAAGTAAACCCAAGGCCATTCATTCCCTATGGCATCATTCACCTGAAAGAGTCGGATGACATTAGTACCGCTTATTCAATAACACCAAGATAGATCAGCATGAACTGACCCAGTAGAGCACTTTGGTCCATCCCTCCATAGTAATACATTGGTAAACAGTTAGCATAGCAAATCCAATGTTATCAAAGTGGGTGATGCCGTTGTTAGGACCCTCCCAACCCTCTTGGCACTCAGAGCCTTTGATGAGGCACCGACGACCATTACCAGCCTGAGCACAGGGCGCAGGCAGCTCTCCTTCAGCAGTGGAATAAATAGCTGTAGGCCCAAGACACATATTTAAGAAATGAATCATTCTACACATTATTTAGAATCTTGTATTCACACACTTGTATTGGAGTAATAGCAGGTCTTATGCATTTTGCACTTGAAAAGCTCCAGTCCCATGATGGCATAAATCGTGACCAGGAGAAAGACCAACAATGCAATGTGTAGCAGAGGTAACATAGCCTTTAGTATAGAGTTCATCACCACTTGTAGGCCTGGAATGGAAATGATAATAAAGTACAAAATACAAAATACCAAAACAAAAAGTAAATCAAAATAAGCTTATACTTGGAACTCCAGACACCAGACGAAGAGGCCTCAGCACTCTGAAGGCTCTCAGGGCTTTCATATCAAAGCCCCCACCTTTCTCCATTGGAACACCTGCTATCTTATTGATGGTGTCCAAGGCAAAGGTGAAGAGACTGGATGAAAAACAAAAAATGAAATTAGAATCAAGCAAGTGCAGTCAAAGCATATAGGTCTGTGGTGCAAGGTCTCACCCCATAAAGACAATGACAAAGTCCAATATGTTCCAACAGTTCCTTAAATAGGCTCCTTCATGAAACACTAATCCATACGCCACTATCTTTAGAAAACACTCTGCTGTGAAGATGACAAGAAAGATGTACTCAAGACTTTCCTGAAAATAGAAAAATATATAAAGACTGGTTATTCAATAAGAACAAGTCACAGGTGATACACTACAAAAATGATTGATGAGTCTGGCATTTCATCTTTATTGAAGGGACAATGTAGTAGGGAGACATTAAACTCAGAGAGACAGCTATGTTCTGCACCAGATTATAGGTAGAGGATTGCATTAATAAGATCTCATATAAATAATATGTATAATGAATGCAATTTGTTTTTTGTGTTATGTCTAAATATAGAATTTGACCTTCATTAGTACAGTATTTCACATCATACCCCTTTGGAAAACACATTGTAATCCACTGCTATGATCAAACGGTCAAATCAGTTATGGCTTATTTACTACAACTGTTACACGATCCTCTGCTCCCATCCTGCTGCTTTGTCCAGACACAGTGGATCAATACTGTTGACGCTACATCTCATCGACCCCTTAATCAATTCAAACATCTAATGTCAACATTACTCCAAGAGGGTAATGCATTTAGCCTGGCTGAAATAAAGCTATCCCGTTGCTTTAATCACCAAAGCTCTAATAGATCATGATGTCAATGGTTTTGGCAGTAAGAGCTGTTTAAACCAACTCCTGTCCCTCCAGTGAGGTGAGCCGACCTACTTCCAGAAACAAGGCTTGTTCTCTGCTCCACTTACACCATTCACCTCTGAGAAATGACACACTAAAGTAAGAAGGATTCATTCCAATGAATAGGACAAAAATATGACATTATATGTATAAGGACATCTCCATGGTAGAAGTTAGAGTTGTTCACAGTAGGACACATGTTTTTATACTTTTCTATGTGTCATAAACACATTTAATGATGGTGATGTGTTATTATTATGAGGCTTTCATTTTGGGTGGTTAAAATGCAATAATAAATTGATGCAATAATAACTTCTGTATGTAACCCACTGAATTGCACTGTATTGCTCACCCAAGAAACTCACCAAACTGGCGTTAGTGTTATTGCTGTCTTCTTCAGGCATTGGCAGGAAAACAGCCAATGCTATACAGTTCGCAAAGATGGTCAATAAGATGATTATTTCAAAGGTTCTGTGTGGGAAGTTCAGGATCACTGCAGAAATATTGTTAATCTCACAAGAAACAACAGTTACATATATGGTAGTTGTGTAATTATCATTTTCCCGCTGTTCCTTTAGCCTGAAGTGAGACAAAGAGGAACGTGTCTTTACTATATGTCATTTGCTAGGTCAGTAGGACATTTAATTATCTTCTGATGAATCATGTAACACAAGAAACAGCAGTGATCTGACGCTGCTCAGTGTATGTAATAAAGCCTGCTGTAGTGACTCATTTCTGCCTCTAGGGGACTCTGTGAGAAAATTCCCCTGCCAGGTCAGCATCATGTCTCAGTGATGTTGTGGGACAGCTGCAAGACCCAAGAATATGACGGCCTATTTAAACATTAAACACAAAAGATTCTATAGAAGTAGTTACTCTGTTTTACCAAAAGAAAGTGTGAGGACACATTTGGGCTTTGAACATGACATAAAAATACACAATATAAATATATTATATATAATTTTGATTTTGTTTTGTGTTACAAAATCTCAAACCAATTTAACTATAACACCGTCTTCCTCCCAAGTAAAAATACTGTAGCAGGTGGAAGAACATTTATAATTAAACTGCTATGATGTTCACAGGGCTGCTTCTAAAACATCTTATAAATACACGAAAGAGCCATTTAAACTTACTTGAAAAAAAAAAAACAGCCTGCTATTAAGATAATCCTTATATGCCATTACTCAGCAACCTGACATATGGTGTTTGTTCAGCTCCACAGTGACAAGAGGGCAATTTCAAACAACACATGAACAATTGTGTTGGGCAACACAAACAAAATATTCTCCATAAGCTTTACAAATGATCCAACATTGATAAACTTTCAATAGACCAAATGTGGCTGGTCTTGAAAGGATACTTCCACTCCACGATGTTGATGCAGGCTTTGCGGAAAGGGTTTTTCAATGTGAACATAAAGAGAGTGCGAGCCGGTCGAGGGTTTCCTCCGGTGGCTTGGAGCTTTTTGAGTTTTTCCCTCTGCTTCCTCTTCAGCTCCTCTTCATTCATGATAACTGTGGCTGCTTCTGCCATCTTGTCGCCGATACCTGAAACAAGTCTCCAATGGTAAAGGAAGTGGTCTTCTTATCGTATATTCCCAAAGAGTGGAAACGTTTTAAAATCCCTTGTTGCAATTGTCAGTTTCCAGACTTCATTGGTTCACTGTTTGGCCCTCTCCCCTTCTCTCCATTCAACTGCACTCCGTCCCACAGGCCTCCCCTGCTGCCAGAGGGCCTCTAACAGAAAAAGCACCCCAAGCACAGTGAAATAACTGGAGCCCAGTTGGTCTGCTGTAGTTTAAATTTAGATAGTGAGCCACAGGCCATGCTTGGGGTTGGGTTATGGCACTGGAGCTGAAGGTAGAAGAGCCAGGTGGGGGCGAGCAGTGACAAACAACAACTCCTCACAGTCCTCGATGTGTGGCCAGAATATCACAAAAAATACAAAAATACAACTACATGTTTAAGACATGTATATTATACCTGCAGTGCACACCTGCTCCTTTGAAGTGACCAATACTGAAATATTTACACAGCAAAGAATTATGATATCAATTCAAATTCACTTCAACAGATTTTTTAATGGTAATTAACGGCCAGTGTAAGGACAGAGCAGTGCAAAAGTCTAGTGCAAATGTACATGATAATTAAACAACATTGAAATGTATACATTTATGTTAAAAGTGACAGCAAACAGAAAATCACATCAGTTGGTCGATCATTATCACGTCTTCTAATATTAATAAAAAGTGCAAATGTGTGGTGCTATTTCCACCATTTGTTACAAAAATGATGCATTAGAGTAAAATACCATGACTATACATTGAGACAATCGAAGACTTATTAGAGATTTATTTTTTTAAATTCCCATCAAAATAAAACACTTTTATTCCGTTTCTGAAATGTTTGCGCATGTTTCTTAAAGAATGTGTTCATTCCATATATATTTTTAATTTGTTACAAATGTTAAAGCGCCATGCAGCAGATGAGCAACTGGTAACGCTCGGAGCTGAGTTACCTACTGTAGACCTAGTCTCCGGTGGTGTAGTCCTGGTCCCTGGTGGGCTAGCCCTGGTCCCTGGTGGTCTAACTAAGCAGCTTGTGTCGATCAAAGACAGTCTTGCGTTGCTCCTGGACCTGTTTCTTCCACCGCTGCTGCGCTCCCTCCACTCGCTCCAGCATTGTGTTTGCTCTGGCTGCAGCTGCCTCAGGCGTCGGTCGCATCTCCTTCAGAAAACACAAGTTTAAAGTTTGAGTCGGGTTTGAATCAAAGCAGAACAAACAGCAACTTTACCTCAGAGTCTTCCTCATTGTGCAGCGGCTGAATGTAGGGGTCTTTCTTACGAATGAGAGGGTCCACAAGCAGCAGGAACAGCATGTACAGAAGAAGTGCACCCACAACACCCAGGTAAATGATGATGGTCACCTGTAAAATATCACATTGTATAAACTAAAGAAGAATTATATTTACAAAAACTGATGTGTATGTCTATATGAATGATTAATGCTCATTGCTTATTATCATCATCATTATCATAATCATTATTATTATTATCTTAAGCCATATTAAATATCAAAATGATAAAAGGGATCGTAACTACACAATCTCACCAAATTAGTATTTTAATATTCTAACAGTGAACAAATAAAACACACCTTGATAGTGTTGCTGCTTCGTTCCTCATACTTGCACTCACACAATAGACAGTACGCCTCCATATCATGACCAGGAACTGGCATAGGATCCACTATATGGAGGCAATTACTGCAGGCACAACACAGAGGCTATTCTTTCACAGACTATTGTAGGTACTACAGTATTACTGTGGTAATAGAATGCTCACCAGTCTTTCTGGGTCACATTTCTGTTGTACACGTTGCCAGATATGTTTCGATATGGCGGACAGATACACTTGCAGCGAACATCCTCAAAGTTCTAAGAATGAAAGCACATAATATCACATGTTAAGGTGTGGACAATTTATAGCTGCTGGTAGTTTCAATTTGTTGAATAAACGCAGATTGACAACGTACTGCATTTGGCCATAATGAAGAAACAGATCTCAGTAGAGACACACACTATCAAGTGTGATTTGCCAAAGCTAAGATTATATATTAGCTGTGGTTAAAACAACTACATTTAAAACAGACTGTCACGATGAGTGTATTAATTATGCTAAAAATAGCACCACTACTGAGTATTTCTGGATAAAACAAATTGGAGAGAGGTGAGTGAGGTTAAAGTACGCCTACCTTAGCATGTACCTCTAGGACCTCATGCAGCACACTCAGCAGTACTACTGTAGTGATCACTCTGCACACATGTCTGATGCTCGCCATGCTCAGACACTCGGACTGTTCAATTAGAAGATGGAAATGTTACAAATGCAATACACATACAGTTAACTAAGGTTAAAAATACTACATGTTAGACACTTCACACTATCATTCTTTACAAGAGTGGAATAGATAATATTACATACTTATCATCTGTTTGGTAGCTCCTTTGTAAGTCGTATTGAGGTGAATTTGAGTATTTCAACTGGAAATGGATTGTTGTTTATTGATGTCCCAGATACCACTTCCGTGTTGTGACGCATGCTCCAACTACATTATTGAGACGCATTGCCCTCAAGTGGACAAAAAGTGGAGTTGCAATCTTTGAATTCTGACATTTTTTTTTTTTTTAAACACATACGTAACATAATTATGATCAAAATTAAAAATCTCTTATCAAAAAATTACCAAAAATATCATGTTAACATCATAACAATAACAACAGAATCTTTCTCTCTATATATAACATCTACATATACATAAAGAGATAGAGAGAGAGAGAGAGAGTGAGAGAGAGAGAGAGAGAGAGAGAGAGAGAAACCAAAGATCCCAAACCCAAAGATCAGATTGCCTCGTGTATGAATTGTGCGTCACAAATAAACTTGCCTTGCCTTGTACGGACCCTTCATCTATTTGCCTCAAGTATTTAAGCCCATGTTTTTCATGTCTATACATGTACACTGTCACAATCAAATAGGCCAAATGTAGCAGTCATTTATAGACATAGACTGTATTGTTTGTTTTTCTGTATTTTCTCTTTATGTCTCTAAATTGACATAAATAGGGATCTCGAGTCTCATCAGGATTGCCCCTATATCCCTTCCGTCATATCTCCTCTCTGTCAAATCTCGTCTCCGGGTGGAATCGGAAATGTAAGCCTGAGCCAGCCTCTTGACCCGATCAATACTTCTATTTCCTGGTAATCTTGTGTTCACTTTCCTCTGTATAGTAAGACACTCACTCCTTTAATAAGCCATAGAAATCAATGAACCACCAATTCAGCCTCAACCACTTGAGTGTGTGGTCACTGGGATCAATTGAAACCATAGTTATTTTTCTAATGAGCTTTGATATGAGCAGGTACAACTCCATCCTCTGTGCAACCTCAATCATTCAAGTGACCTTTTCAGCAGGCTAAAATTCAGTTCAGTTGAAACTCAATATTTGACATAATTACTATATTGTTGCATGACAAATTAATACTGACACATTTCAGATTTAATTCATAATATATATACACTGTCTGATGATTCACATAGAAGTCAAGTCCTAATTGTTTTCTTATGGCTATGAATATTCAAAAAACTCACACATCCAATCCAGATTCATATACCTCTTGTAGGTGTCACCTGAGCCTATTATAAGTCTATCTTCATTAATGCATGGCTGCCCTTTACACTTTTAGGCCAATTAAAGCCTCAACGGCAAAAAAAACCAAACCATTCTGACCTAATTAGTGGCTCAAAGCGAATACTGAAGACATGATCCAATGCTAAAACCATAAATGTATGTCAAGTGTTATGAGAAAAAGCCGAACACTCATGCATGAGGTGTTAATGACAAACTGCAGTGACCTTGGCATTTGAGACAGCAGGTTAAATCATGAAAGAGCACACTTCTTCTAACAAGCACTCAAGACATTTTCTTATTTGTCAAGGCACCTGGAAATATTGACTGAATCACATTATTTTGAGCATTAATTTTCATGAAAGGGAAAACAGCAGGCAGTGTGCCCACTAGGAGCTTCTTCTTCACTAAAGCTTGATAAAAAACGATTTCTGGTTGAATTTGAAAGAAGATGCAAGTTTATTTGATTTTTATTCATGAATACTTTTCATTTGTGTTGGGTTAACACTATACTCAGATTGTGTTTTCTACCAAAAAGAAATCCATACACCTATATATAAAATACAAAATATAAAAATAATCTCTTTGTGTCCTTATCCGGCAGTCTTACCCCTCAACCTTTCATTGTGATTCTTTTTGACCTTTATCACATCATCGGCCGCGTCTTTTAGCTCCTCGACTGCTTTCTCCTCCTCTGTATCTTTTGTGGAGGACAAGGTTAGAATAACAAAGCCATCCCTGGGAACCTATACGCCTTCTCCTCTCCTGCACAGGCCCGCAGTGATGCATTGTGGGCAGCAGGACTATTCTAATAGACACATGTGGTAATTACAGTAGTGGGAGGCAGACAGTGGTGGTCCAGGGACAACACAAAACTATAAATCACGAGTGGTGGTTCCGCCCTCCTGAGCGTAGCCGATCACGCTCAACCAAAAAGCAATTCTGCCAACACGTGTTTGCACATTTGTCTTCATCAGGGGTTGGCTTGTTTTGGGCCCTGCAGACTGACTTTTCTCTTCCCATGGTAATCAAACACACACGACTTTTCCTCACATACTCCATGCCATATTAATATCAACAATTAGCCACACTTGAGATGCAGCAAGTTTTAATATAAGCAAACAAGCAAATAGTCTTAATAAATCCACAATGATTAATTAATGAGCCGTTTGTAAGTTAATTGTAGTACTTCATGCATGTATATGGATCCTGGAACCTCAAAAACTATGAACACATATTAACACTATATACATGTTAAACTTGAGCTGCATTTTTTCCACTAAAGTAAAGGTGCATTTTTCTTATGGGGAATCTACCTTTTTGGTTCCACGGAGACACTTTGCTTAGAAGGTACCAGCATTAAGTTTATTTATATTGCATGGACTGTATTCATATTCTTCAAATCAAATTTCAAAGCATGAGTTCTGAATGTGAGCAGAGTATTCTCTCAGGGTTTGATTCGTATTGCGGCCTGGTGACATCAACTGCTTGTCTCTGCATATTTTATAATGTTGAAAAATAAAAGAATTTGGGGTGTGCATGTTTTCCTTTTTAATCTCATCCATGTAATAAGCAAAAGTTTTTCCAAATACTTCCTTCCTAATTTTGCTTCCTAATTAGCCCATGCTTAGACGATGCTTTAAGAGTGTTTTAAACTACTTACACTGATCTCATTTTTGTAAATTCAGTAAAGATTCAAACTGCACCAGTTGGAGAACCCTTTGGAGCCCAAACCAATGACTGGACTCTTTGTGAAGCTGAGGTTCGTTACTTTTGGCCTCTGATTACTCATTTACTGTAAGTGGCAAGAATCTCTACACAGAATAAGATCAAACTCTAAAGCGTACCTACATATACCAGGTAACACATATGTGAACGTAGTGTAGAATGACTACATTTTGAGTTTTGAAAATTCTCCTTTCACAGTTGAGGCAAATGTCACTGGAAATAATAATGATAATAAGTAAGTAAGTAATGTTTATTTATATAGCACATTTTACAGACCAAGGTCACTTTGGTCGCTTTTACAATGTTCAGAGTTCAGATATTGTTCCAATCATTCCACACACGGTGATGACGGAAGCGAGACGGCGAACACACTGGCGCATCAAAGCCCCAATCAACACCATTAATTCACTCTCTTATCTACATTCATACCTATTGTGCATGTTTTTAGTGGTAGGGGAAACTGGAGCACCCGGAGGAAACCTACGCAGACACAGGGAGAACATGCAAACTCCACTCAGAAAGGCCATGTTCCGACCGGGATTTGAACTTACGAACTGAGAAGCAAGAGTGCTATCCCCTTGGCCTCTGTGCCACCCCATAATAATTAAACAAACAGCTATAGACAGAACCCTAAAACATCCTTGTGAACTGTTTTGCAAATCGTTTTACTATTTTTTTGTCCATTCCAGTTTGTTTAATTTTTCACATTTCCAGGAGTTGGAGGGTTATTTCTGCTCAATTGGCTGACAAATACAAATGAAGTCAAATTAAATCCAACATCTGTCCAGGAACATTGATGTAGTTAGGGCTACTGTGTTTGGTAGCAAGAAGAAAGTGTTCCTCTTTATCTGTGCTTGGGAATGGCACCAAGGCCTCATGTGTAGCCCCCTGTTTGTGGTCAGACTCCTGTCAGCTCCCGTTATGGTGTTTTAAAGGTACAGGGACAGTTTGAGGTGAAGTGTCCAAATAGAGGAGGTGAGAAAAACAAAGGTGACACTAAACCTCGGTAAGTGTACAGTGAGCGCTCTGTGATGTGATGGTGGACGACAGCTGCCCGTCACACAGCTGAGGCGCGGAGAGGTGAGGGCGGCTCCCGATGCAAACGGAAGCCTCGGAGGGACACACTTCCTGCGGCAGGAAGCAGAGCGCTGGAGCAGGAGACTCAGTCAGACAGAACATGAAAGCTGCAGCCGCCCTGACACTTGATGGACACACACGGAGAAGACGGGCTGCCTCCCCTCTCCCTGATCTCCATTCTTCTCACCCCAAAAACAGACCTGGGAACAATCAAACACACGCGGCCTATATGCATTTACTCTGCAATGGATGTGAAAACTATAGACTCTATATACGGTCTATGACATAATTATGTTGTTCTTACTAAACTGATTATGGTTAGTCAAATGTATTAATATTAATTGCAACTGCGATATGTAAGGGTTGTGAAATATGATTTTTGGACTCAGAGTTGAAAGTGATTACAAAATAATCAGGAAATGAACTTGTTTTTCATGGTACAAAACCAAAACATTCTGTTAGACATTAATATTATTGATTGGGCGATACATAGGTTAGCGCTTGAGCTGGGTTTAATTCCATCTCCAAGCCTTTCTGTGAGAAGTTTGCATGTTCTCCCCAGGTCTCCCCACCACTAAAAACATTTTACAATAGGTATGATTGAGAGAGGGAATAGGTGGTGATGTTCGGAGGCTTTGATGCACCAGTTTGTTCAGGCGTCTTGTTTCTCTTGTAATGAAAAAGGAATAAAAAAGGAAATTATAGAGCACTTTGTATGAGCTTGGTCTGTGAAATGTGCTGTACAAACAAAGATTACTTATTTAATCTTTATCCAGACTCAAATTCAATTAGTGCAAATGTATTGAAATAACATACAGTAACAGTTCATCTATGGCTTCAATTCAAGTTTATCTTACAATATTTATCATTCTAAACAAAGAATCAATTAATCAAAAGACTAATCGCAAGTTGGATGAGTATCAAAACAATCGTTAGTTGCAGGCCTACTGGGTCATTGCTAATGACACAAACCAATATTGTAAGACAAGTTTGTGTTTTTC